AGAAGAAAAAAATATGAACAATAAGGTGGCAATAAATACATACCTATCAATAACTGAGTCTAAAAAATAAACAAAATCATAGATACAGAGAATGTTTTGATGGTTACCAGATGGGATGGGGGTCTGGGGGGTGGGTGAAATAAGTGAAGAGATTAAGAAGTACAAATAGGTAGTTACAGAATAGTCATTGGGATATGAAGTACAGCTTTGAGAATAGAGTAGCCAAAGAACATATATGCTGACCCATGGATATGGACAATGGTGTGGGGATTGCCTGAGGGAGTGGGGGGGCCTGTGTGTAGTGGGGCAAAGGGGGAAAAATTGGGACAACTGTAATAGCATAAACAACAAGATATAATTTAAAGAATCAGAAAATTAAACTAATACATATAATAATACTAATATACTACTTCTTGAAAGAAATAAACATGCATACTGAAAAAACGAAAAAAGCATATACATCCATATGCTCACTGCGGCATTATTTACAATAGCTAAGATACGTAAACAGATGAATGAATAAAGAAAAAACGTTGCATGTGTACAATGGAATATGACTCAGCCATAAAAAATAAAAAAGAACAATGCCCTGGCTGGTGTGGCTGAGTGGATTGAGTGCCAGCCTGCGAACCAAAGGGTCGCTGGTTCAATTCCCAGTCAGGACACATGCCTGGCTTGCAGGCCAGATCCCCGGTGGAGGGTGCACAAGAGGCAACCACACATTGATGTTTCTCTCTCTTTCTCCCTCCTTCTCCTCTGTCTAAAAATATATAAATAAAATTTTTAAAAACAATAAAAAATAAAGAATGAAATCTTGCTATCTGCAACAACATGGATGGAGCTAGAGGGTATTGTGTTGAGTGAAATAAGTCGGATAAAGACAAATGCCATATGATTTCACTTATATGTGGAATAAAAAAAAAAGAACAAGCAGAACAGAAACAGACTTATGTGAGGGGTTTGTGGAGCTGGGTGAAAAAGGTGAAGGGATTAAGAAGTACAAATTAGTAGTTACTGAATATTCAAAATTGAGGAGAAGGTAGAGAAGTTTCCTATATATACCCCATGCCCCGACACATGCTCAGCCTCTCCTATGATAAACATCTTTTAAAAAATTTTTAAAAAAGATTGTATTTATTTATTTTTAGACAGAGGGGGAGGGAAGGAGAAAGTGAGGGAGAGAAGCATCAGTGTGTGGTTGCCTTTCACATGCCCTCCACCGGGCACCTGGCCTGCACCCCAGGCATGTGCCCTGACTGGGAATGGAACTGGCGACCCTTTGGTTCACAGGCCGGCCCTCAGTCCACTGAGCCACACCAGCCACAGCTCCATTATGAACATCTTTTACCAGGGTGGTACATTTATTACAATTGATGAGCCTACATTGACACACCATTATCACCCTAAGTTCTAGTTCACGTTAGGGTTCAGCTTGGTGGTATAAATTATGTGGGTTCGGACAAATCTATAATGACATAAATCCATCATTACAGTATCATACAGAGTTGTTTCATTGCCCTAAAAATATGTTATATCCTTTCATCCATTTCATCCCTTCTTCCCCCCAAGCCCGGTCAACCACTGATTTTTTTTTTTTTTTTTTAACCATCTCCACAGATTTGCTTTTTTCAGAGTGTCATACAGTTGGAATCATAAAGTAGGTAGTCTCTCAGATTGGCTTCTTTCACTTAGCAGTATGCATTTAAATTTGCTGTATGTATTTTAATAGCTTGATAGTAATTTCTTTTTATCACAGAAGAATATTGCTATAAACACCTGTTTTGCAGGTTTTTGTATGGATTGTGGACATGGTTTTCAGCTCCTTTTGGTAAACAGAGGGGCATTTTTGCTGGATTGTATGACTAGAGTATATTTAGTTTCGTAAGAAACTGCCAGGCTGTCTTCCAGAGTGGCTGTATCATTTTGCGTTCTCCTAGAGTAAAAGAGAGTTCCTGTTGCTCCACATCCTCACCAGCAAATGGTTGTGTCAGTGTTCCGGATTTTGGCTGTTGTAATAGATGTGTGGTGGTATCTCGTTGTTTTAATTTTCATTTTCTTGATGATATGTGGTATGAGGCAGCTGTTCATCTGCTTATTTGCCATCTTTATATAATCTTTGGTGAGGGGTCTGTTAAGGTCTTTAGCCTATGTTTTAATTAGGTTGTTTTATTTATAAGTTTTAAGCCCGTGGGTCAAACAAGAAATCATGAGGGAAATTAGAAAATATCTTGAACTGTATACCAAACTTGTGGGTGTAGATGAAACAGGGCTTACAGGGAAATTTATAGCTTTAAATACCTATATTAAAAAGAAGGCAAGTTTGTAGGGTAGGTGAAGGTGGAAGAATGTATAGGGTATAAGGGGGACAAATGGTAATGGAAAAAATACAATAAAAAATAAACTATTAAAAAATAAAAAGACAAGTTTAGAATCAATTATCTGGTTCCACTTTTGTAAACAGAGAGAGAGAGAAAATTAAACCCTAAGTAAGTAAAAGGAAGGAAATAATAAAGATGGGAAATCAATGAAGTATAAAAGTAGATTAAACAATAGAGAAAATTAACAGAGCCAGAAGTTATTTCTTTCAAAATATTACAGCCATTAAAAGACTAAAAGGGGAATATTAGGCTAAGAAAGCTGACAATTTAGATGAAATGGACAAACTCCTTGAAAAACACCACTTACCAAAACTGACAGGAAAAAAGAAAATCTCAGTAGCCCTATGTCTATTAAAAACTGAATTCATTATCAAACACTTTCTATAAAAATAATTTTCCACAAACAAGACTTCACTCATGAATTCTATCAAATACTTAAAGAAGAAATAACACCAATCTTATACAAACTCAGAAAATAGAGAAGCAGAGGACCCCTCAGATTATAAGATCAGCATAATTCTGACATCAACACCTGACAACAACATTATAAGAGAATGAAATTCAGACCAGTGTCCCTTGTGAATGTAGAAATAAGGTTTTGAACAAAATATTGGCAAATCATATCCAGTAATATAAAAAACCAATTAATACATCATGACCAAGTGATGTATTATCTCTGGAATTCAAGGTTAATTTAACATCTGAAAAATCAATTAGTATAATTCACATCTTAACAGAATAAAGGAGAGAACCCATAGGATCATCAATATATGTTAAAAAACATTTTACAAAATTAAACAACTGCTTAAATTCTTGTCGTAAGCTTGGAATAGAATGGGAATTCTTCAGTCTGATAAAGGGCACCTGTGAAAAACCTGTAACTAACATAAAATGGATGCTTTCCTTCTATAATTGGGAGCAAGGTAAGGACTTCAACTTTAACCAGTTCTCTTCGACTTGTACTAGACATTAACAGCCCATACAATAAGCAAGATATATAAAGGCACAAAGACTGTCTTTATTTATAGACAACATAGCTTATGTAGGAAAATCCAAAGGAATCTGTAAAGTGACTGTTAGGACATCCATATGATGTAAAATGATGTTTGTAAAGAATCCTTCACAATCTCAGAAAATATTAGTGTTGAATGAATTAAGTAAATTATAAAATTATATGTGTAGTGTGCTCTCCACCATGTTAAAATATGCATGAAGTGGCTAGAAATAAATCAAAATAACACTGATATTGCTGAATGTAGGTTTATGGGTGATAATTTTCGGTATTTTTCAATTTTTAAACAATAAGTGTATTACACATTTAGGGAAAAAGCCATATCTTGTAGAATCTCGTCATAACAGACAGAAAACTTCCCCTGCCCCAAGACGCCAAATAGCTGCATTTACTGTTTCCAAGGGACTGTCGCTGAGACCTGTCTTTCAGCTGCATCATGCAAACAGTTCCCTACCCCTGGTCAGTCAGATGCCCTCCTCTGCCAAGAGCATACTCGAGAGGGTGCTGGATGGTTGGCCAGAGCCAGGGCCCCATGGGAACGAGGATAAGAAAGAACTGGAGGTCTTTCTCTTGAGGAAGGGGCGCTAAAGGCTGTCTCTACCTGACAACCCCACACCCTTTGCCTCTAGGTTTCCCCTCCCCACCATGCCATCCATTTCTGGCCCCATCTCTGGCCCCATCATTGATAGACTTAATGGGAATATTCTAGAATCAGGTGCTAGGATAGTTTAGCAGGGCTAAAGATCTAGCTGCTTTCACTGACCCTCCACCATCTGAGTTATTCTCGTCTGAGACGAACATGTGTCACCAAGCCTGCGTATGCCCAATAAGATCATTTCTCAGATAGGGAACTTGAAGGCACTGAGAGTTGCTGTTGTTGTTGAAGCATGAGACCGAATTGAAAGTGCATTTCACAGCCAAATTAATGCTGTCAAACTTATCTGTTCACTCCAATCAGAATTATGCTGCATCAATAATAACATACAAAGAAAATTCAGGTGATAACTTCCATCATTCAGAACTTTATATTATACTAGTATGTCAGGTGTCCTGGTTCCCTACCATTTTTTTAAATGAGCTTTGCTTTTATAAGTAATGTTTTTTCTATTAAGTAGCATATTTCTTTTTTAAAATTTATAAATACATTAAAAAAGTCATGGCCATTGTACATTTTGGTCTTTTTTTTCCTAATAAAATTCTCACTCAGGTAGTTCTCCCTCCGGGTCCTCACTGCCTAAGTAAGAGTTCCATGATGCTGCTGGATGGTTATGTCTTTTTTTTTTTTTTCTTTCTTTCTTTTTTTGTGTGAAAGAATGCGTTGGTGAAGCAGTGAGACCGAGAGAGGCTACTCCACAGACAGAGCAGCCAGGTGGTTCTATCTTAATTTGGGTGGTGGCTACAGGGCGTGCAGGCAGAAACATTAATCAAGTGATCTATGCATTTATGGTCTGTGCTTTTAATTTTTGTAAGTTATACTTCAATTTATTTGACAAGGAAATTTTATAAAATATTTCTCCCTTCAGAGTTGATTTTAGATTGCTTTTCTCATGTTTTTAATGCCCCTGTATTTATGAACATGCTCTCACACCTTTATTTCTCTCCTGCCTTAGGAATACATACCGCATGATTGAACAAGATGACTTTGACATTAACACCAGGCTACACACGATTGTTAGAGGGGAAGATGAGGCAGCCATGGTCGAGTCAGTAGGCCTGGCCCTAGTGAAGCTACCCGATGTCCTTAATCGCCTGAAGCCTGATATCATGATTGTTCACGGAGACAGGTTTGATGCCCTGGCACTGGCAACATCTGCTGCCTTGATGAACATCCGAATCCTTCACATTGAAGGTGGAGAAGTCAGTGGAACCATTGACGATTCTATCAGACATGCCATAACAAAACTGGCTCATTATCACGTGTGCTGCACCCGAAGTGCAGAGCAACACTTGATATCCATGTGTGAGGACCATGATCGCATCCTTTTGGCAGGCTGCCCGTCTTATGACAAACTTCTCTGTGCCAAGAACAAAGACTACATGAGCATCATTCGGATGTGGTTAGGTACGTTTCAGACTTTGTTCAGACTAATGGTTGTGTTTGTCAGTGTTGGGTATATTTCAGTCTTTTCAGAAACTATCATGGATAGAATATGCCATTAGCAATCGGAAGGCTAAAGTTTTAGATCACAGATCTTGACGTCTGGTTTGACTTTACCTCTCTGAGACTCACCTTTTCTGTAAAATAGGCTTAATGGATATTTACCAATGAAGTGCTTTTTAATACATTAAATATAATGTGATGGGTGAATAGTTACAGGAATAGATTTTGACATAGCAAAAAGGGGGAAAAAGCAAGATACAATATTCATGTATAATATGATGACATTTCTATGACAACAGTAACATAATGGGAAGTTTAAGGATATACACCAAGTCATTTATAATATTTATTTCTGGTTAGTAGAATTATGGATGCTTTTATTTTTGTTTTCTTTTACTTTGATTTTTAGTACAATGAAAAATTTGTTATTTTTAATTTTGATGTCTTTCTTACATGATTGTTGGAATGCTTAGATGAGGTACTGAATGTTGGAAGTAGTTAGTAAGCCAAAAGTACTTATTAAAAGGAATTATGATGATTATTATTAGAAATAAAAGTCATAGTTGTACCATTAGAGTTTTATCTCTGTAAATAAGCCTTAAGGTCTGAAATCTTCAATGTTCAGTGATCTAATCTCCTGGAAATTACCTTTTGCTAATCAGAGGCAGAGATAATAGGTTTACAAACAGAATTCGGTTAATTTATAGAGAGAGTACTATCTAGAGGACAAATCAGAATTAATCATCTGGTTAGGTATTTAGGACTCTCCTTTTTGAAGAGGTAGATCTATTGAATAATAAAGTTAATGAATAAATTGATTTGGTGATTATGTATATTTTAAATCAGATCACATTGAAACAGGAAAGGGATCAGGCTTTTCTACTATGTAAGTTAATCCATTTTATATATTTCTTACTCTTGGACAGATTTGTAGTTATTCAAGAACCTGTCTAGATAATGCTAGTGGAATAAACGTATCTCTTTAGTCTCTCCTCTTTGTATATTCTAAGTAAAGATTCTTTCATTCTGTTCTGATTATACTGTTAGCTCTATATGTGTTCTACAAAACTTTGGATTTTTGAAAACCTTGTAATGAATAGAAAATAATCCTTATAAAGCAGAATGCAGCAAACTTGTACTTGTAGGGCTTAAATTCTATTTGGAACCATTTGAGCAGTGTCTTTATGAAAATAAAGATGACAGGATAGCAAAAACTAGATTAAAGGAAAAATACAGTATATATGTGTGTTGAGTGGGGAAGGAAAATGGTTGGGAACAAAACAATGAACCCAAGCCACCTACCCCTGGCAATAATACACTGTGCAAAGTCTGTACCTGCTTCTTATATTTATCACACTTTGTAACCAGAACATTAATAAATAACAGTCCTAATAAAAATATTAGCAAAGTTAAAAAGACATGTTAAATGCCCAATAATGAAAGAAATACCAGAGTAAATATAGAACTGTAACACAAAACAAAATGATGGCACCTTAATGGAAAGGGTTGGGTGGAAGGGCCGACGCTGCTGAGTTCTGGAGTTAAAGACAGAGTGATAATGTCAGAAGTTGTGCATCGAGAAGTAACCATAGGTTTTGTACAAAACCTATTATTGCCAGGGATGGCTAGCTCCAGGTCATTGTGCTGTCTGTTACTGTTTGTTAAATTTTTTTTTAAAGACATCTAGTTTTTGCTCTTTTGCCATCCTTTTATTTTTAAATTTATAAATCATGTTTATTCTATTACAGTTGTCTCAGTTTTTATCCCCTTACCCCCCTCCACCCATCCCCCCCATCCCCCACCCCCCGCTCCCACAGTCAATTCCCACTCCGTTGTCCATGTCCATGGGTCACTCACCCATGCTCTTTGCCTAGTCCCTTCTCCTTCTTTCCACCATTGTCCTCTTTCCCCATCCCCTCTGGTCACTTTCAGTCTGCTCCGTGTATCCTTGCTTGTGGTTTATTTTGTTCGTTAGTTTATTTTGTTGAATAGAGTCCACTTGTAGGTGAGATCATATGGTATTTGTCTTTAATCAACTGGCTTATTTCACTTAGCTTAATATTCTCCAGTTCCATCCATGTTGCAAAAGGTAGGATTTCCATCTCTCTCTTTCTTTCTTTCTTAAATGCAGATTAATTTTTTTTTTATTTTTTTAAATGTCAAAGTTAATTATAAAATATTAAAAAATTTAAAATCATTATAAAATCTCAGCAATTAAACCAGCATTACACCTGCACAGAAATAATCAATCAGATCAATGAAATATAATGAGCATTCTAGAGACAAACGTATATATCTGAAATGTAATATATGATTAAGTTGATATTTCAAATCAATGGGTAAAATAAGGCTTATTCAACAAATAAGGTGCATGGACCACTATTACTTGAAATAAAACAAATATAGAACCCTTTTTCACACATTATACAAAAAATATTCAGGTGAGTTAAAAATCAATATGTAGAATCTAAGAAGTTTTAGAAGAAAATAGAACTAATATTTTTCATGATCTGAAGTAAAATACTCAACCCCAGAAGCTATAAAGTAAATATTGATATATGACTACATTAAACATTTAACTATATAGTAATATACATATAAAAAAGTTAAAGGACAAGGAATAGAATAGAAAAGTATTTGCAACATATCTAAAACATGGTTAATAGGTTGTTTTTGTTTGTTTGTTTTTAGGGAAAAAAGTTCTACAAACTGCTAATCAATAAATGGTGTGTAAAGAATACCAAAATGTCATTTAAAGCTTTAAAAAAAAAAAAAAAGAAATAGGCAAGAAATATACTAAAACAGGTTTAGTTTCAACAAATAGTAAAGGAACAATTAAAATAACATCATTGTCACAATCAGATTAATGCGTATTGAAAATATTGGTAATATCAAGTTTTGATGACTGAAAGGAACTGGGTATTCATAGAAACTTTTTCTTCATCTTAAAGCAGTCCCTTTAGCATATTTTGCAGTGCTGGTTTGGTGGAAGTGTATTCTTTTAGCCTTCTTTTGTCTGGGAAACTCCTTATTTTGCTTTCCATTTTAATTGAGAGCCTTGCTGGGTAGAGCAGTCTTGGTTGCAGGCGTTTGCTTTTTTCATGACTTGAAATATTTCTTGCCATTCCCTTCTGGCTTGTAGTGTTTCTGTTGAGAAGTCAGCTGCTAGCCATATCGGGGCTCCCTTTTATGTTACTACGTCTTTCTGCCTTGCTGCCTTTAGGATTCTCTGTTTGTCTTTGATATTTGCCATTTTAATGATGTTGTGTCTTGGATTGGGCCTCATTGGGTTCCCCTTGAATGGGACTCTCTGTGCTTCCTGGACTTGTGTGACTTTTTCTCTCCTCCAATTAGGGAAGTTTTCCATCATGACTTTTTCAAACAGGTTCTCTATCCCTTCCTCATTCTCTTCTCCTTCTGATATCCCTATTACATGGATATTATTACGTTTCAGGTTGTCCTGCATTTCCCTCAATGCCTCTTCATTCTTTTTGAGTCTTTTTTCATTTTCTTTTTCTGGGAGCTTTTTTCTACTCTGTCCTCCAGCTTACTGATTCGGTCCTCAGCTTCACTTAGCCTGCTTTTGATTCCTTCTCCTGTGTTCTTCAGTTCAGAAATTGTATTCTTCATTTCCTCTTGTCTCTTATTGATAGTTTCTATATTCTTTTCCGTGCTGATATAGTTTGCAGTAAATTCCGCATAGTTTCCCTGTAGTTTTTTGTAGTTCTCTCTGAGCTCACTGAGCTCACTGAGCTTCCTTCAAACCGTTGTTTGGAACTCAATATCTGGTAGTTTACTTGTCTCTATTTCACTTAATTCTTTTCCTGGGGATTCCTCCTTTCCCTTCGAGTGGGGCATATTTCTTAGTCTTCCCATTATTTGTGAGACTCTTCTCTTTTGCTTCTGATTCTTAAGTTGATCTGTCTTGATTTCCTGACTTTGTGGTGTGAACTTCTATGGTTGGAGACCACTGTTTTTACTTTCTGGATCTGCTTCTGATGATGTCAGATGTTGACCCTGTCTGACTTTAGGCAGTATGTTTGAGACTTCCAGTAATCTACTGTTTGTGGCTGTCTCCTTCAGCTGTTAATCTATTCACTCTGCACTCAGCAGGCCGCCTTAGACAGCTCAGGGCGGGAGGAGTCCCTCCTGGGTGTGGGGTTATTGGATCCTTTCTAGCTGCAGCCATATGGGGGAGGAGTCTGCACTAGGATCCCACCAGCTACTCTCTCTGTTCTCTCCCCAGAGCCTCCATCTCCAGTCCCTCCTCAAGTGTCTCCAGACCTCTCTGCATTCCCTTTAGCCAGGGATCTACTGTCTGTGGCTGCCACTCAGCAGGCAGCTTAGACAGCACAGGACAGGGTGGAATCCCACCTGGGGGCGGGGCTATTGGGTCCTTTGACACTGGTGCTGCTCAGGGGGAGTGGTCTCTGCCTGAGCAAGATGGCTGCTGCCACTGGGGGATGAGTCAGCACCGAGATCCCACCGGCTACTCTCTCAGTTCTCTCCCCAAAGCCTCCTTCCCCAGTGTCCCCTCAGGTGTCTCTAGCCCACTCTGCCCCGCCTTTGCCAGAGACCAGGGTAAGTGGCTGCAAATAAAAATTCATCCGTTGGCCCTTTAAACAGTTCTTTGCATCTCAAGCCGCCTGTCTCTGGCAGAGAGCAACCCTGCCGCTTTTCAGAGCTGGCTGTTTTCTGTATCCTTTTTGGGCTCTGATGCTGTGGGCTGGAGATCCCCACTTTTGGTTTAGACCCCACTCTTCTCAGGGGGATCCAACTGGCCGTTTCAATATCTTCTGGTGCTGCCACCTGTGGGTGCCCTACCCACCTTCTTGAGTCTCTACTGCACTCCTTACCGGTTAGATTGCGCTAAAGCCTATTCTTCTGTCTCTGAAGTTGCAAGGCTCCTCTCTCACTATTGTTCAGTTGTTTGTTCCAGGTGATTTCTCCACAATTTAGTTGTAATTCCAGGTTGGTCCTGGGAGGAGGTCAGTGTGACTTCCAGTCACTCCTCCACCATCTTGATTCCTTTTATTATTATTTTTTTTAAGTCAAGAAACTGGCTCCATATAGAGTCTTAGGTTACAAAGTGCAATCCTGCTGCATATACTGCAGATTATAGGGTTATTTTCTGTATAGTGCAGATGCTTCTCAATCACACTTAAAGGAGAAGAGAAATGAGAAGTGGAAAGCTCTCTGGGGTAAACTGCTGTATCTTTTCTTCCTCTTCACCTTCCACTTGCCCCTTCGCAATAAGTTATATGGGATGGTCCTCTCTGCATGGGACTGTGGAGCTCTATAACATCCTCACTCCCAAAGAAAAATTGCCGCAACATCCCCCTGCCGCCAAAAAAAAAGAGCCACAGAGGTCAGAGACACAGGTACTGCAGAGCTTGTTGTATACATTTACGTTAAGGTTATTTGTATCCAGCCATGGGGAATCATGTATGAATAACTCAACTACTACATTAAAGACTGACATCTTTCTTCAATTTACCAGTCACAGATGAGCTAATTCACATTATAGAAATGTGCATCATAGCGAGGCCAACGTGTACCATATCCTTTATCTCTTTTATTGCTATTTTTCTCTCCTTGGTTTCTAATGGCCCTGACCTCTATCTAGTGACTTAGCTAAATTTATGTTGATCACATCTTTCTAGGCTTCTGTTTCTGATAGATTCTTTTAGGCCTTTAGGTCTTTTCCCTACTTTGCACAAAACTTTAATAATTGTACCCCCCCCCGCAAAACCCCAGCTTATAACATAATATAGGACCAAAAATTTTTTAAATAAAAGTTTGGAACCTAAAGTCTTTTCACTCAAATACTACTGAAGATTCTTAGTGAAAATTATGTTACCATTAAATCATAAAAAAAAATCCCTGCTATTGTTTGAATTTGGAAATTAATGATAAACTTACAGTGTAATATAAAGGTGATCATTAAAATTAATATCACAAAGAAATATATTCTCATTAAAAATAAGAAAGTGGAGGGGGTGGGAGTAGGATGGGTGGAGGGTGGTAAAAGAGTAAAAATTGAGACAACTGTAATAGAATAAACATGACATGTAAGTAAAAAATAAGTAAATAATATGTATACAAAAAAAATAAGCAAGCAGAGCTCATTTTTAGTTTTATGGGGTAATCTAGGCCCCGTTGATCCATGTTTTGTTTCTTTGGCATAGCACTGTCCATCTGGACCACTTACACTTTAAATCTTTGCTGAGGAGCTGTGCTTGGGATCCTAGCACGGGGATAAGTGAAGTCTTTCTAGTCCTTTGAACAGACTTAGCAATGCTAGCCATTGGTTGCCTCTGGTGGGTGATGGTATGGGGAAGCTCCTATGTATTTATTTGAAATACATTTAGTGTTCTTTCAGTCTCTCAATGCCCTGATTTGCAACGTATTATTCAATACCAATGATAATTCATTAGATACACTAGTTAGGATTGGGAAGATTCACATTTTTCTAAATGCTTTGAAAAATTTTGGATTTGAAACAATGAATTCTAGTGTCTGCTATTTCAAGTTATATATTTTGTTTGTGGTAGCAAGCACCTTTGTAAAATTTAAGTTTGCTGAATCCTTGGACTTGTTGCTATAAATTCTTATCATTTGAACCTATTCAGATGGCGTGCTAAAAATGTAGCAAACTGTTTTTCCATAGCATTTTTAAAAGCACAGACTTTGGAGTCTGCCTTCTGGAATTTGCTTCTTTTTCCTTTGAGACTCTTAACTAATGAAGCAATGTGGTTTGATTTTCTTTAAACAGGTGATGATGTAAAGCCTAAAGATTACATTGTTGCTCTACAGCACCCGGTGACCACTGACATTAAGCATTCCATTAAAATGTTTGAGTTAACATTGGATGCACTTATTTCATTTAACAAGAGGACCCTAGTTCTGTTTCCAAATATTGATGCAGGTAACTGGACTTGAGAATGAAAGTATGCCACCTGCCTTTCCAGTTGTATGTTTCTGTTATGTCTCCTTTTGACTGCCATTCTTTATCTTGCTCATTTTATACTGAAGGCTGCTCTGTTCTGAAATGTGTTCCAGTTTTCAAAGGATCACCAATTTTGCAGTAGATTAAAGAGATTGTGATGTTTTTGTCAAGTCTAGTAGAAACTTAATAGGAAATAAATACTAAAAAAAAAAATCTCGCTAATCCTCATTCTAATTTTATGTTAAATCTCTTCCCTCCATTTTGCACTAGTAAGAAAATTCAATAGCCAAGAGACAAACCTTAGAAGTTGAAAGTGTCTTCAGGAAAGTAATGATCCCACTGACCACTGTAACATAGCCGTTATTATTATTCCTTGTCATCTTATGTATATTAGCTGTGCCTTAAAATAATCTTGAGTTTAAACTCAAGAGTCTGCCTATAGAGCTAAAGTCCTCAGCTGATCCTCAAGCTTCCTGTAGGCTTTCATACTAGTGAGAACTTAACCACGTTAATGGGGATACAAGACACAAATGAGAAATGCCAGAGCAGGAATTGTCAAATATTGGCTATTATTAGCAGATCCCACTCATTGCTGAGCTCTTAAGTACTTTGTGGTAAAAGAGGCAGGACCCCTTCGCTGCAAAGTCCAGATGTCACCATCTTTCTCTGAAAGAATCCCTGTCTTAGTGTCTCTCAAATAACCTTTATTGGTAGGGCAAACAAAGTAGGGTGTTAACTGAGAAAAAAAAAATTAAGAACCTACAACCTAGATCCTGATGTACAGGTAATTTATCAATATTTCAAAAACCTTAATATTTCTTCTTTTATAATCCTTTAAACTTTTATATATAAGTATTTGTAGTATAATTATATATCTCTCTTGTTCAGTATTCATTGTGAATGATACTCTGTAATATATTTTCCTGATTGGCTATACTTTAAATTAGAAATATTTTTCCCCTCTGAAAGTAAAGAGTCCCAGGAATGTCTAAATCATGCCAACTGCTCACCTCTCCTCACAGGGTTTTTGATAGAATATACGCATAGGGAAATAAGAATCAAGGCATCACTTTCTCATTACATTATGTCTACATTAGTGCCCAGTTCCCTAATGTAGAACTCTCTGGAATAGGATTAGTACCTGTGATTTAGACTTAAGGCCAAAGAGAAGCCTTCAGCTGAGCCCAAATCCGAACCTTGGAAGAGTAGCACCTTCTGGCATTCCATGCACTACAGTCATTAGGGGTGCTGACTGGCACGCTCTAGCAAGGGGAGCGGTGGCCGGGCCTGCGCTGAGGAGTTAGAACCCTGAGTCTATTACCTACTTCACCACGTAGAGGAAGTTAAAATGAGAGAGAACGCCGCATTCCCAGCTTCTTCTGTTCAATCAGTGGCTACTGCCCACTGGTGCATGCAGTGTGGTTGCTGTCCTGCCTTCTAACCAACCAGATTAGCAACTTTGCCTCCCTTGGTAGCTAGGAAAGGGTGAGTAGAGAGGCATTAAATGTTGCTTCTCCCTCAGAGAGCTCTAGCATTTTTTAATCTCATGCATTTAAAATAAGATAACAGCCACAGTATCAGAATCTATCTAATTTCTTGGAACTTAGTCCACGAGTGGGCTAAGTGGGAGTGTTATCCCATTGAGCTGTGTGAGCTTGGTGCGCAGAGCCTGAGACCTTTCCAATTAGGGACTCCCAGCTGCAGAGCTAGACTGTTGGCCTGTCTTGAACCTCTTCATTGTTAAGGTGAAGGCTTTTCCTGAGGCATTAATCAAAGGTATTTACTTTGCTGAGTGCTATTTGAAAAGTCACAACTGCTGCTGTTTAAAGTTTCTAGATGAGTTCAAGAAGAGAGCTGACTGGGTAATTTAGATATTCATCACTCATGAAAAAATCAGCAATTAAAATGACTATTTCTTTAATAACTGTTATGAGTCTTTATGGGAAGATTTCTTTATGTGGGGCTATACTTGCCAATGAAAATTGCTTATCTCATAAACTATGTAACAGTTTCTTTTCATTTTCTCAGGGAGCAAAGAGATGGTTCGAGTGATGCGGAAGAAGGGCATTGAGCATCATCCTAACTTCCGTGCAGTTAAACATGTCCCATTTGACCAGTTCATACAGTTGGTTGCCCACGCTGGTTGTATGATTGGGAACAGCAGTTGTGGGGTACGAGAGGTTGGAGCTTTTGGAACACCTGTGATCAATCTAGGAACACGTCAGATTGGAAGAGAAACAGGTATCGAGCTTTGCCTATATTTCAACTGACTAGGCTTAACACATATGTATGAATTATTACAAGGTATACAAACATTATTAACAAGTGAGTGAATGAAGTTAATGACCAATTTTAGCCTAAAATCTAGAAATAGCACACAGTGATTGCCAAATGTTTTTAGGACTCTACTTATATTTTTATTGTCTTTGAAATTGTTAGAGCTAAGAATTTCTTAGTTAATTGTGGTGTTTGATGTTAGTGTTTAAGAGAGAATGTAGTTGAATGTGTTATCAGTATATGAATGCTAGTCTTTCATTTACTGGGGCTAGTAGAGTCCCTTTAGTCAGTACTTTGGAGCATGGCAGTTCTAAGGAAGATGAATCCTTAATAACTAAAGTATAAGTAGGGTTACTATTAATGAATTTGCTAACCGAGCTTATCCTATTACTAACATTAGTCCAAGTTCTAATGCCATCTACATGCAAATATATTTCTATAGCTAATGGGAAAATGTTTGTGGTTCATAGAAACAGAACTAGACTAGAATCAAGGAGATTAGTTCCAGCTCTTTCTCCTATTCTTCATAATTGCCACCCTAACTTTCTATTATCTTTAGACTTTCATTCCCAAAGTATTATTTTGCTCCCTACTTCACAGAGAAAATGCAAGCCATCAGATGAAAATTCTTGTGCGATGAGCGGGGGAGGGGAGCGGTGAAAAAGGTGAAGGAATTAAGAAATACAAATAGGTAGCTACAGAATAGTCATGGAAATGTAAAGTACAGCACTGGGAATAGAGTAGCCAAAGAACATATATGCGTGACCCATGGCCGTGGGCAATGGTGTGGGGATTACCTGAGGGAGTGGGGGAGGCTGGGTAGAGGGGAGCAAAGGGGGGGAAACTGGGACAACTGTAAGAGCATAAACAATAAAATGTAATTTTAAAAAAATAAAAGAAAAAATTCTTCTAACTTCCTTAATTCATTAAGCAAATATTTAATAAGCACCTACTATGTGCGAGGTACTGCAGTTAAGCAGTAAACTAGTCTAAAAATGGCTGAGCTGTCACGTAACTTCCAGTCTAGTGGGAGGAGAGACAGATGATAAACAACAACAACAAAAATACATTAGATTTGATAAGAGAAGTCTCCTTTTAGGAGATGACGCTTAAGCTGAGATGTGAATGACAAGGAATTAGCTATGTGAGGATCAGGGAGAAGCAGAGGAAAAAACCGCTGTGAAGACCAAGCTTAATATATCTGAGAAGCAGAAGGGTCAGTGTAGTTGTAGAGTAATGGGCAGGAAGAAGAATGGATACTAGATGGGGTTAGAGAAGGAGGCAGACGTAAACCAGCATAAATAAGTTGGGTTTTTTCCTAAGTGTGAAGGGAAGCCATTTAATGTAATATGTCTTGCGTTTTGGAAAGATCATCTGGCAGCTATATGGAGAGTGGAATGGGGTGTCAGGAGTGGAAGCAGGGAGACGAGTTAAGAGGCTTTCAGTTCACGAGAGAGATGATAGTGGCTTAGACTATGCGGTAGTATTAGAGGTGGAGAAAAGTTCGATTTGGGGTTTGTTATAATACTTGCGGTTGCTTGGGTATGGGCAGTGAAAGGAAGAAAGGAATCAATAGTAACTCTTGAATTGGGTGTACTCTTTCCTGATATGGGGGAAACTGGGGGAGGAGCAGATTTGGGATGTTTGGAATTAAGCATTCTCTAATGATCATGTTAAGTTTGAGAAGCCAATTAGATATCAAAGTGGAAGTGGCCTCTAAGCGGCTAGATAGTTCCAGGGAGAGTTAGAATTGAAGATATAAGAGGGATTAGCATACAGGATGGTATTTAGTTAGGGTATTAGTTCAGCTGCTTTACAGAGACACCCCAAAATAATAGTGTCTTAAATAAGTTAGATTTTTCTTTGTTTCTTACTGGTATGATAGAGACTTAGCCTCCATCTATCTTGCTGTCAAGCCCACATTTTAGCCATTTGGAAAGGGGGATGGGGGAGATGTCCTATCAGAACATAGTCACATGGCCACATCTAGCTGCAAGGGAAGCTGAAGAGTATATTCTTTAGCTGGATGCTCAGCTGCCCAGCTAAAATTCTGTTACTAGTATAGAGAAAGGATATTGAATATAATGGCACACTCTGCCTGAGATGATATTTAAAACCAAGGGACCAAATGAGCTTACCCAGGGAGAACATATCAATAGGGAAAAGAATGGAGCCCAGGACCAACTGCAGGAGCTCTTCAACAGTCAGAGTTCTGGGGAGGGAGGGAAGGCCCATCAAGGAAGACTGAGAAGGAACTGCCAATGAGGTCCGAGGAAACCAGGAGTGTGGTATCATTAAAGCCCAGAAAAGAAAGTGTCTCCAGAAGATGGTATTGAAAGTTGTTGAGAGTCCAAATAAGATGTGAGCGGAGAATTTAATACTGGATTGAGCACTGTGGTCCTCTGTCAGAAGCAGTCTCTGTGCTTTCTGCCACCACACTTCATAAACACATGCCCATCCCTCTTTCTTACCTTCTTTATACTGGAGGGTGTGGGGTATGGGGTTCCTCTTGCCTGTCCACTGCTAGCCTTCTGTGTTCTAAATCACCCAGCCTGCCTTTTGAGGGACTTACCAGTTACCCTTTCTCTCCCATGTATCTTTAGCTTCCTCCTCATTTAAACATGCCTAGGCCTCTCATTTCTTAAAAACAAAACAATACAAAATAACCCCTTCCTTGATCCCATACTTCTGTGTCTCCAACTATTACCCTTCTGCTCTTCCCCTCCTCTTAGCCAAGTCTGTTGAAAAACATGGCATTTTCACTGTATCTACTCCTTCATGTTGGTCAGAAACTACATTGAGAGAAAGTGACTGTCTGAGCAGCTGACAGCTACTTGGCTGACTGACCAACCTGGCCTGACCAGCTGATTGAACGACTGGCTATAGATAGAAGGCAGGGCAGACTGAAAGAGTAGACATGCTAGATGACCCAATGAGTGGCAAGCGGATTCTATGGGGTGGCCAGAAAGTTTGGTTTTTTCCATAAGATGGCTCTAGTAGTGCTTAGTTGTCTTTGACTTCGTTCGGAACGATGTTGTCAGATTGTATTGTGCATTTAAAAAAAAACTAACAAAATTGGTGAATTTTTCTGTGGCCATTTTGTTATTGAAGATGGAAGAAAATACACAACATTTTGCACATTATGCTTTATTGTTTCAAGAGAGGTAAAAATGCAAGTGAAACACAAAAATAGATTTGTGCAGTGTATGGAGAAGGTGCTGTGACTGATCAAATGTGTCAAAAGTGGTTTGTGAAGTTTTGTGCTGGAGATTTCTCGTTGGACAATGCTCCACAGTTGGGTAGACCAGTTGAAGTTGATAGTAATCAAATTGAGACATTAATTGAGAACAATCAACATTATACCATGCAGGACATAGCTGACATGCTCAAAATATCCAAATCAATAAAGTTATCGGTGAAAATGAAAAATGTATTTTATTTTTTGGAAAAAATCATACAGATTTTTAGGCCAACCCAATAGATTAATCCACCTTATTTATTTCAATAAATATACAAAAACTTAATTTATTTCCTTCGGGAATGAAGGACCCTAGTGCTCTTAAGTATTTGATATGTGGGAATCTTGCTGAGAGTGCTTTAAAAAAAAGGTATACAGTAGAAAAGTTGATGTCTCTCTAAAAGAAGACTTATTTGAAGTCCTCTGGGTTTCAGGGACAATTATGAGCAAAATGCACTGCTAATTTCTTTATTCTTTGGATACTCCCACTGCTGAATCATTGTACTGTGTCACTGGGTTTACCTAGGGGAGAATGTCCTTCATGTCCGGGATGCTGATACCCAAGACAAAATATTGCAAGCGCTGCACCTTCAGTTTGGTAAACAGTACCCTTGGTGAGTACGTACCTTCTTTTTAAAAGTGCTTTAAAAGAGGATCTGCCTTAGGCACCATTTCCAAGCCATGATCCCTGTTCACCACCCCAACAGAGCCCTCATCCTCTGTCCCGAAGACCCCCTAGCTGGTGGTGAGACGGGGCTCGCTAACACACCCCCTATTGTTCTACCGAGGGTTCTGATGGAGAAGAATTATTTATTTGTCTCAGCTAGTTAACGTAGCTGGGAAATACTTCTTTAGCCTACTTTGAATTTTCATAAGTGTTAGAAAGTAATATAACTGATTTTCTTTAAAAACAGTTTTGTTCAGCATTTTTAGACTGCCCTTCTTTCTTTTTCAAATTAATGAGATTTTCCTGTATTTGAATGTTTCTTCCTGAAAATAACTTTCCCTCCATGAATGTAAAGATAACAACTAAAAAAAAAAATTCATTGTCTCAAACTGTTATATTCTGAAATTGACTCAACAAAGATCATCTTTCTTTGATAAGATGGGCGTTTTTTTTAATGGTGTCTCAGGATGGAAAATAAGTTGTAATTCAGTCAACAATGGATTAGACATTGCATTGGTGACATGAAACTGCTACGTTGCTGAAGAGATTCAGGTGGTTTTTTTTCTTAATCATTAAAAAAATTTTTTTTTTAAATTTTATTTATATATTTTTAGAGAGAGGGGAAGGGAAGGAGGGAGAGAGGGGAAGGGAAGGAGGGAGAGAGGGTAAGAAACATCAGTGTGTGGTTGCTTCTTGCACGCCCCCTACCGGGGACCTGGCCCGCAGTCCAGGCGTGTGCCCTGACGGGGAATGGAACCGGCGATCCTTTGATTCTCAGGCTGGCACTCAATCCACTGAGCCACGCCAGCCAGGGCAGATGTTATTTTAAAAGGAAAAAGTACAAATTATTACCTCGGGTCTGAGATTCCATTAATATCATGTCCTCAGTATCATTTAGCATGTATGAGAGAAGCATTTAATTTGAATTTTTGGCTATTGCAGTTCAAAGATATATGGGGATGGAAATGCTGTTCCAAGAATTTTGAAGTTTCTCAAATCTATTGATCTTCAAGAGCCACTACAAAAGAAATTCTGCTTTCCTCCCGTGAAGGACAATATCTCTCAAGACATTGACCATATTCTTGAAACTCTGAGTGCTTTGGCTGTTGATCTCGGTGGGACGAACCTCCGAGTTGCCATAGTCAGCATGAAGGTAAAAGAACTCCTGAGGTCTTAACTTTATATCTCATACAAGTCGTCGAATTTTAAAAAGTATGATTGGAAGGTAGGACTAGAAACACACATGAAAGCTTGTAATCATTTGCCTACAGTATTGACTTTTGGGATCCATTACAGTGTTTGTCACTATTTTACTAATCATTAACATTTCAAGGAAGTGAAATTCTCAGGGAAGCCAAGTGAGGAGATTTGAGTTGACCATGGGACACCCCGAGGTCCCAGAGAGGGCTTTTGCCACCCAGGAGACCTGAAATTTGGGACTTGGTTAACAGCGTGAACTATGGAGAATGTGGATCACTTACTACCAGGGAGGGCGTACACAAGTGTGAGAATTGCATCTCCTCTACAACATGGTTTTGGCTGAGGACAGCATACCTTCAGTCCCTTCACCACACCGTCACCACAGCATTGACAGAAGTTGAGAGAGCCTTCATAAAAGCACCACCGTGTCCATGTTAAAATGCTCTCTAATGATTTAACAAGAAAAGTCTGTTTGAAATACTGTCCATATATAAAATTTCAGAAGCTCATTAGAAATAGCAAAGATTTTACACACAAAGTTGTTTAGGTCAATAAAGAAAAGCAAAACAAAATACGTTGTTTTTTTTTTCCCAGAGAAGCCAAAAGGCATCCTTTATTCATATTCTTTACAAAGTATTAATAGGAGAATATTTTCTTAATATAAGATATATTTCCTACCAATGGCCAATACCCCTTATAGTAAAAATTCTAGAGGCATTATTACCACAATCAAGAGGAAGGGGAGGATGTTTTCTACAACATTATCGAACATGGTTCTGGAAGTTAGGAAAGGAAGGAAGCATGGAACAAACAGCAAACATGGAGACTGTGGGCAGGGTGAAATAAAAAATGTTACTTATCGGCAATGTGAATAAACTAACAACGTTATAGAATAAGACAAGTAAAATGGCTAGGTATTATGATACATATATAAATATCAGTGACTTTCTATTTACATTAAATTGTAAGCAAAGATTTTAGTTTTCCTTTAGGTGAGTGTTTGTTAACCCTGATTGCACAACAGCATTATCTGGAAGTTTAAAAAAAATACACAGATACCTGGCTCCCACCCCAGACTGATGCAATTGGAATCTCTGCGGGTGGAGGCCAGGCACCAATATTTGTTCAGAGCTTCGCAGATGAGTCTGATGCACATTGCAGGTTGAGAATCACAACTTTGGATTATTTTTAATAGGAATCATTAGTGACAGCTTTCACCTTCGTAAGTGTATAAAACTCCATTAATAACAGAAGCATGGAAAAAGAGATCCTATTCAGAACAATGCAACAAAACCTCCTAAGAATAATCTAAACCAGATAACTATGTGATCTATATAAAGAGAATTATAAAATTAAAGGCTTGACAAATATCCTGGATGGGAATGCTGAGTGTTTTTTAAATGTCAGCACTTTCCGAATTGAATTACGGATTTAGCATCATTCTGGCCAACATTTCAATGAAATTTTTAAAAGTTTAACAACAGTATTGTGAAATTTACTTAAAATAATGCCTAAGTGAGAACAAAGAAAAAAATTTAAAAACAAGAATAATTAGGGGGGACTTATCCCTGATTGGTTAGTGTTAAAATATATCATAAAACACGGTAATTTAAGTGTCATGATACCATACCATGTTGGCTTCAGTTATGGGAGATGATGAAAGCTTAAGTACTTAGGATACTTACTTAGTTGCCTCAGTATTTAAGCATGGAAAATTTGTCAACCTGAAAGAGTAACATACAACCTTTTAATGAAGATTCAGATTAGCCAGCATTGACCTTATGCTTCAGAGAGAGGCCTGTCTGGGTGGCCCTGGAGTTGTCATTGCTTCAATGGCCATTGCCAGAAGGGCTTCTCAGGCAATGACTTGGGTGTATCCTAGGGCTGACCCAAGACAGATGGTGGCTCCCTTCCGAAGCAGTCATCTAAGTCCGTAGTGCGGTCCCGTGGCAGTGTCTGATTTATCATGAAAAAGGCCAAGAGATTCACTGTGTTTGCTCCTTAGCTAAGACCAGACAGATGGTGTTTTTTTTTTCTCTTTTAGGGTGAAATAGTTAAGAAGTATACTCAGTTCAATCCTAAAACCTATGAAGAGAGGATTAACTTAATACTACAGATGTGTGTAGAAGCTGCGGCAGAAGCTGTAAAACTGAACTGCAGGATTTTGGGAGTAGGTAAGATTATGAATTACATAGCCAAGAAATGTTTGTTTATGTACAAAACTGAGTTCTGCTGCGTTACTGTCTCAGAATTCTGCTCAGTTCTGAGTTCTGCTCAGAATATCAAATCACTGTCTGCCCCATATATGGATGGCACTAGGTCCTGTCTGTGGAAGTTGATAGTACTGTATCTATGGGAGCTACAGAGTTAGCTCAGAACTGCGTGTCATTTTCTTGCAGTCCTTGGTAATGTTTGCCTTAGGATACGTTGGATGAATTGTGATTGAAGCCCAGAAAGTAGGCACACTTTTTGAAGACTGCTAATAAGAATTATTCCCCTCGTGTTTGGAGCTCAGGTGTCTCCACAGGTGGCCGTGTAAATCCTCGGGAAGGAATCGTGCTGCATTCAACCAAACTGATTCAAGAATGGAACTCTGTGGACCTCAGGACTCCCCTGTCTGACACTTTGCATCTCCCTGTGTGGGTCGACAATGATGGCAACTGTGCTGCCATGGCGGAAAGGAAATTTGGTCAAGGAAAGGGCCTGGAAAACTTTGTGACACTTATCACAGGCACAGGTAAGGAGTAAGAAACGGTTGCTTCAGGAGCTAGAGTGCATATTGAGGCACACCTTTAACACTCGGCTGGGCCGTTTACTACTTCGCTTTAGCCTGCTTGCGTAGAGCCACATGGGAGAGCTGAGGGCCTGCTCAGCTCTTTTCTGAGCATGTACATGGCCTTCTAAAAGCTTATCATTCACCAACTTTTCCTCCCAGTATTTTTGGTTAGTATATTGTTTGCCCCTACTGTTACCCATTTCCCTAAGGAGCAGAGACTAATTAGTATATTTTGCCTTTAAATGTTTTTGACAAACGCCCCTTGGGTAGCCCCCTGAGCCCTGGGTGAGTTCTGAGACAGGAGAGATAAAGGCAAACCCTTTGAGCTGGTCAAAACACCACCGCAGTTCTTTGAAAATGAGGTTAGTTCCACTCCCTCCAGTACTGCCATCTGTATCGGGAATGTGGTCTGCTGTTCAAGGCCACTGCTAGTTCGTGGGAGGAGAGGGCGATGGGACCAGAAAATGCCAGAAAGCTCTTACTGATTTCAGTTGTTTTTTCCTTGATGAAGCATTCTCCTGGTTATTGCAAAATTTTTGTTAGTTTCCAGAGTTCCAAAAAAGTTGATTCTGATAGTTTTTGCCAGTTCACTCATTGCTTTAGTGGAGGGATGGACTTTTGGAGTTCCCTACTCTGCCACTTTTGCTTGTCCCAGTTTGTTTTTCAGATGAGGAAACAGCCTCAGCTAGTACATGGTCGAGCCAGCATTTGATCTTAGATATGCCTAACTTCAAAACTTGTGTGTTCTTAAACTCTACATCATACCACCTCCCTGTTAAGCTCATATACTTCTTCTCTTAGTCTCAGACACAGTTTTAGCAAGCTTGGCTATCATTTCCTAGCACAGAGCAGTTAATAAGCTGCAAAAAAGAGGGGTGGGCGTAGAGGAGTAGATGTCACAAGAAGTAATAGGTGGCAGGGAAACTAAAAAGCAGCGCGCGCTAAGGCAAAATGCTCTTTACCACTCAGTAACTCTTAAACTTCATAACAAGACAGTCATTGGTATTCATCGTTACTGAAGCATAGATTTTTAGGCCTGATGGTATTAAGAGGCAAAATTGTATTTCATATTCTGTTTAAGAAAGCAGGAGGTATATAATACCTTAGAAAGATTGTCTTCCCTAAAGCAGGGCCCAAGACAAGAGTTTGGATGTGGGCATTTTCTTTGGGCGGGGCCCCTGAGAAGCAGGAGTGAGGCGGTGGGAAGAGTGGAACAGAGTGGGAGGAGAGCCACTAGAGGACACACTATCAAAGTTGCCTTGAGGGCAGTAGGGGCTGAAATCTACCAGAACCTCCCAGAAAGCCTGCAGAATACCATCCAGAATTGGCCACTAGGATCTGCTGGCTCCTGTCTTGCCTCAGCTGAGGGTTGCTGCCGGGCCCTGTGTCTGCATGGCTGACCAAGCTGTTAGTGTTGGAGAAAGCCTCGGTTAGAACAGCGGGCAGTGTGCGTTTGAGGTGGTACATGATCGTCACAAGCCGAGGCTGAGCTTGCGCAGGCCTGTCCGCTGCAGCTGTGGCTGAAATCATACTGAGCCAGGCAGGTGCAACACAGGGTATCAGAGGATCTGCTAAACTTATTTCCCTCCAAAGTGATCCAGGTAAAGTTTTGGTACTTAGCAAGTTTCAGCTATCTAGGAGTTAAGCATTATGTAGAACCTCACGGTCCAAAACTTTCCTTAACAAAGCATCAGCTTTCTGTTTCAAATGAAGAGCCACCTCAACAATTGCTTTCTCTCACCGTAGGAATTGGCGGGGGAATCATTCATCAGCATGAATTGATCCACGGAAGCTCCTTCTGTGCGGCAGAACTTGGCCACATTGTTGTGTCTCTAGATGGGCCTGACTGTTCCTGTGGAAGCCATGGGTGTATTGAAGCGTATGCCTCTGGAATGGCCTTGCAGAAGGAAGCAAAAAAGCTACATGATGGTTGGTTTCTTTCGCTTGAGGAATTAAATAGCCAAAAGGTAGAAAAGTACTTCAAAGTAGATATTCTGGAGAGAACACTGAAGCCAGAACTTTGAACCTTTTCCCTGACTAAAAGAAAAGGAGCTTCTCATACTGAAGCTCCAAAGTCTCCTTGGTCCTGCCCATAGGAACTCTTCCTCTCCAGGGGTGGAGGTGGACAGGGCTGGAGCTCTGGGATAGCGGGGAAGGCTTCCTTCATTTTTGTTTCCTCAACCCCTAGCACCGGGTAGGTAGCTAATGTGCATCTTAATGAAGAATTAAATGGAAGAACATACCACTTTTTGAACTCTAAAAGGTCTATTTGCATTAAAGCTGTTTCTGGACATGTTATAAAAGTCAGGATGGTTTCCAGTCTAATGCAAGAGGGAGTCATTTAATATCATGATATACTGTCTCCAGTGCAGTGATGGTGGCCAAGAAATGCTCATGAGGACACCTGTGTCCCCTCCACCCTCTCCATGTAGTGAGGAGAGCAGTAGGTGCTGCCCGGAGAGGTCGAGTCAGAGGGTGAACAGAACTAGCGAGACAAGTTTGGATGAGCAAGGGAGCATGTCCAAGCTTAGGGAACAGTGTTGTTGATGCATAAAAGGCGGAGTGTAATGTAGTAAGAGTAAGTCAGAATCAGCAGCTAATGGAGAAATCACTGAAAAATTTTAGGGGAAGGATACAGTCAGATCTGAATTTTAGATTCTTCACTGAACTTTTTGTTTTCTGGGAAGAAAATGGTAGTTGAATGGAGGGCAGCTTTAAGTGGGACAGTTCTATAGAGTCACTTTATTTTCTGGATGGACAAATTGAGGTTGGGAGTGTAAGACGAGGAACAGGTTTTGATGGCAGAGGGGCAGCCATATGCAGGTGGAAATGCATAGGAGGCAGCTGGCTACCGGGGTCTGATGCTCGGGAGAGATGACGAGGCTAGAGGGAGGGACTGGGACCCAGCTCTGAGGTGGCAGTTAAACTTCTGAAAGAGACTTGGAATGAGGCAAGAATCAAGAATGGAATCCTGCAAAACAGCATATGAGTGTGTGCGGCGGTGGGGGCGCTGGGGTGGGCGCTCGGGTGCAGTAGGTAGTGTCAAATGCTGAGTAAGAGAAAATCAGAAAAGTTCATTGGCTTTGGCCATGAGGACATCATTGGAAGCCCTAAAAAGTGTTTTTCAACCTCATGTTTATTATCACCTCCCCCACCCAAGGAGCCTGTTTAGATGTTTTTTCCTAATCATCTCACCCCATGAAACTCTCATACCACAGATATTTACATACTGTCTATATTAAAAGATTTTTTTGCTGCCAAGATTCAATTTTTGCCCTCTTAGGGGAAAATGCCTCTCTTAAAGTTTAAGTTTAGTCCAACACTGCGGGGGAGGGAGAGCAGAAGCCTAACTACACTAAGAGGGAAGCAGTGGAATCTGTGAGCACGTGCCAATGGAAAGGAGACAGCGGGAGCGGAAGCTGAGGTGGAGGCGGCAGCCGGATCTGGGTTGATGTCTGGCAGAGGGAGGGGCAGAAAGGCAGGGACAGTAGGTAACAGAAATACCTCCTCTTTATTTAACATTTACTTTGGTCTAATGAAGTACTTTATGGTCCATTATGTCATTTAATCCCTAAAATTGTCCTGCTAGGGTAAGTATTATATTATTACCCCAGTCTCACAAAGAGAAACATGGAGGTAATCTGACAGGGACAGGGCTGTGCAGCTCGTAATGACAGCTGGCAACTGAACTGGGTCTGTGTCTGTTCCTTGGGCACTGTGCACTCCCCCCACAGGATGTGGGGCACTGGCAAGGCAGGCCACATTGCATCTGGGTTGGATAGGGAAGTAGATGAATGCAGAGGAGTCTGATAAATTTAGGCGGGGGAGGCGGTGGCGGCAGGAACACTTCAAGGACACTGCCTCAGACGGAAGTGAGAAGTGAGGGAGCTAGAGGGGTGAGTAGGAGGTTCGGATCAGAATCGAGGGTTTTCCAGTTAAGGACATTCTGGGCGATGTGTAACCGGACAACAAGAGAGCAACAAGGACATGTATATGGATGTTTATGAATGATGAGTTTTGCAAATGTGAAAACCTTGCCTTCCCACTTGGGGGCTTGCTGCCCGCTGGCGCAGCCGTAACCTTGGCCTCCGCACAGCACTGCCACAGCTCCCTAATGACTGCCGCTTCTTACCTCTGCTCGAACAGAAGACCTTCTCCTGGTGGAGGGGATGTCAGTACCAAAAGACGAAGCCGTGGGTGCGCTCCATCTTATCCAAGCTGCGAAACTTGGCAACGTGAAGGCCCAGAGCATCCTGAGAACAGGTGAGTGTCCGCTCCTGGCAACTCGGCCGCAGAGGACAGGCCCTCAGACCACCTGGGGCACCCCCAGATGTCCAGCTTCCCTCAGGACTGGCGCTCTGGAGTGTTTATTCAGAGGTGTTTTTCCTGCTTACTGAGGGGAAAAAAAGGGAATTGCCTTCAAGGTATTGGGCAGCATAGCTTTTTAAAACAGGTTTTTTGTTGTTGTTGTTTGTTTAGTTATATGACTATGATTAAATAACTTATTTATTTTATAGGAAATTTAGAGAAATAATGAGAGTAAGGAAAAGTGTCACTTTGAGTTTTACTGTTCAGAGATATCGACTAGTAACATTTCCTTCCAGTATTTCTATTTTTTTAATAGTTGAGGTCATATAGTACAGTATATGCAATTTTATACCCAGCTTTTTCTTTAATAGCGATTTTATTTATTTATTTTTAGAGAGAGGGGAAGGGAGGGCGATAGAGAGGGAGATAAACATCAATGTGTGGTTGCCATTCGTGTGCCCCCTACTGGGGATCTGGCCCACAACCCAGGCATGAGCCTTGGCTGGGAATCGAACCAGCGACCCTTTGCTTCACAGGCTGGCACGCAGTCCACTGAGACACACCACCCAGGGCTATACCCAGCTTTCTTCATTTCAAAGAATTCCATGATCGTTTTCTCCTATTAGGAATAAATCAGGAACAGCTCCAAAGAACTGCTTCTGGTTACAGTGTGAATGCTCCTGGCCGCTGGCTCTTTTCCACCTTTCCCTTGGGCATTTTTGACTTGGTTCCCTTCCTGAAATTTATTTTTTGTTTTCCTGTAGCTGGAACGGCTTTGGGTCTTGGAGTTGTGAACATCCTTCACACTGTGAATCCTTCCCTTGTGATCCTCTCTGGAGTCCTCGCCAGTCACTACATCCACACTGTCAAAGACGTCATCCGCCAGCAAGCCTTGCCCTCGGTTCAGGACGTGGATGTGGTGGTTTCAGATTTGGTGGATCCTGCCCTGCTCGGGGCTGCCAGCATGGTCCTGGATTACACAACTCGCAGGGTCTACTAGGCTGCCCAGTAGTGGACATGGACTGAAACTCAAGAGCTCCTCAATGGAATCAGGTTATCTTTTTGATGCACATTTCTTAAAAAGCAAATTTGATTATTTAAATTTGATATATAGCAGGTGACTTTGGCACAGAACTTTGTGCTTATAGTCTCCTCTTCTGAAGTCACCTTTTCCAACTCCCATTTTTGTAGATGCTGCTCTTTCTTGGGTCATTTCAGCTCAAACCCTGTAAATGCCACTCAGTTTTCTGTGCTGAAAGGAGCTATAGCAGCCTTCGGCCTCAGCTTACTAGGCATACCCCTCAGACCTGCAGGCCTTGCTTAGGAATGTGACCTTGAGACTGGAGTGTGGATTACTAATCCTTCCTCTTCTGACCCTAAACTTAGATGGCAAAAAGAGATCTAGTCAGGAAATAGAAGAAAATCTCACATGGAAGGCTTAAGTGAACTTTAAGTGCCCAGTTTGATAAACGTCATAGGCATGCACCTGTGAAACCATTACCACAATCGTGACATTGGACATATCTGTCACCGCCCCCGAAGTTCCTTGTTATTACTCTTCCAGAACCTTGAGATACTTTAGAGCAGGGGTCTGAATTACAGTGGCCTTAGTGACCTTGTGCTTATCTTCTTAAGGACAGCTGAGAAGCCACTAGGATTTACGGCCTCTGAAAGGAGATTAACTGTCCCTAGGATTTTTGCTACTGACAAGCAGACCCTCTCCTTTCAGTAACTTTTTGTACTTCGTTGAATACGGCCCTGGAGTGCCTATTAAGGTCATGTTTGTGTGTCAGACCTAGAGCCCACATCTGCAAATCTGGTTTCCAGCCAAGATTCCATGCTTTCGCTGCTGTCAAGATACAAAGGCCAAGGTTCTTGCTGTCAGTTGCAACCTGGAAGAAAAACTAATAGCCACCATTTACTTAAGTGCCTACTGTGTGCCAGGCTCTAAACTAAGTCCACCTCAAATACATTATTCTAAATTTTCACAGCCTGTGAAATAGGTGTTTTAATTCCCAGTTTATAGAACCCCAAACTGTCCTAGTGTTTAAACATACCTAAAGCTATGTCCCTAGTGAGTCTCAGAGACAGGGTTTGATCCCAGATCCCTCCGCTTTTTCTGCTAAGCCACACAACCTCTTATATCAAAAATTTTCAAAATGTGAATATATTCTAATTTAGTGCAGACTTTCAAAAGCTTTATTTAATATCTCATTCGTAATGCCTTGATTTATCCATGGCACTATCTGTAAGTAGCTAATCCAATCAGATATTTTATGTGGTGTCAATTTTGCCAGTATAGGCTTTGGGCTAGTGATAGGTTTTATGGATACTTTTTAGATGATCTAAAAAAGCATACAAGCATACGCATATGTTTCTCAACTATTATTTTAGGAGAACCTCAAAGTTTCTACAGTAAATTCAGTATTAGCATATAGAATAAAATGAAGGAATCGATATTACATTTGTACTTCCTTCCTGGTGGGTTAATGTGAAAAAATAGGTTGACTGATTCTTAGAGCTCTACCAGCCCTGAAGTAGTCTCCAGGTCCTGGTTATTGTTGAAACATTCCTGGTGATTCATGGGTGGGACGTTAGTCTGCTCAGCAATCAGTGTCTGAGGCAAGATGGTATACTCTGAAGGGGCATCAGTTGTTCCTTGGTGAAATCTGTGACCACTTTGTACACCAGACAATTGCATTGCTACCTAAGTATATGAAGGATGGTACTGAATCTAAAACCAAATCTTAGTTTTTGTTAAGTTTGTGGAAAGGCTAATATATTCCAACATAATTATTACATATAGTTAATAATCATACCTTAATTTATTTTAATGTAAATATTTTTGTTACTGAGCCAAATTCTAAAGAAAAAATAAATATATTTCCTTGCGGAAATCCAAGCATTTTTGTTTTGTTCTTAAATTAACTTGCTAGCTAAAAGCATTTCCCTTCCCAGAAGAGATTTATATTGTTGCATTGCTTATATTTTGAAGGTCATATAACTTCTGTAAGGCATCTAATATTGATTTCTTAACAAAAAAAAAAACCTCTTTGATAATATAAAGAATTATTATGTAATAGTTTAGAGAATTTTCTTTTTGTGATAACTTTGAAGATCTCCTTTCAGCAACTTTCAAATACGTGATACAGTATTAACTATAGTTAGCCATGCTGTTTATTATATGCCTATGAATTACTTGTAACTGGAAATTTGTACCTTTTGACTTTCTTTATCCATTTATTCACCATCTACTCCTCCACCTCTGGCAACCACCAGTCTGTTCTGTGTCTATGAGCTTGGTTTATTGGTTTGTTGTTGTTTTTTTTCGGATTCCACATGTAAATGAGATCAGACAGTACCTGTCTTTATCTTATTTATTTCACTTAGCATAATACCCTCAAGGTCCATCCCTGTTGTTGCAAGCGGCAAATTTCATACTTTTTATGGCCAAATAATAATCCATTATAAACATACAGCAGAATTTCTTTATCCATTTTTCTGTTGATGGACACTTTCGGTTGTTTCCGTATCTTGGCTATTGTAAATAATGATGAGGTGAACACAGGCTGCATATATCTTTAAGTGTTTTTGTTTTCTTCAGATAGAAGTGCAACTGCTGGGTCTTATGATTGCTCTATTTTTAATTTTTTGAGGCATCTTGGTACTGTTTTCCATAATGGCTGCACCAATTTACATTCCCACCAACAGTGCGCAAGGTGGGGAGAGGGAAGTTCTTTGCTCCACATCCTTGCTAACATTCAGTATTTGTCTTTTTGATAGTAGCCATTCTAACAGGTTTGAAGTTTTGATTTGCATTTCCCTGACTAGTAATATTGAGCATCTTTTCATGTACCTGTTACCCTTTCTGTATGTCCTCTTTGTAAAGATATTTATTCAGATCCTCTGCCCATTTTTTAATCAGTTTGGGGTTTTTTTGCTATTGAATTGTATGAGTTCTTTATATTCAATTTTGGATATTAACCCTGTATCAGATATGATTTGCAGATATTATTTTCTCCTGTTCAGTAGGATGCCTTTTTGTTGGTGGTTTACTTTAACATGTGGAAGCTTTTAAGTTTGATGTAGTCTCCTGTGGTTAATTTTGCTTTTTTGGCTTTGTTTTTGGTATCATATCCAAAATATCATCACTGAGACAGATGTCAAGGAGCTTACTCCTGCTTGTTTTCTAGTACTATGGTTTCAGGTCTTACACTGAAGTCATTAATCCATTTTGAGTTAATGTTTGTGGTGTATGGTGTTAAGATTGTGGTCCATTTTCTCAATGCAATTTATGAGGCTGTCCTTTCTTGATTGTATATTCTTGGCTCCGTTGTTGTAAATATATGTGTGGGTTTATTTCTGGGCTTTCTATTCTGTTCCATTGATATATGTGTCTGTTTTTATGCCAGTACTATACTGTTTTGATTACAGTGGCTTTGTAATATAGTTGGAAATCAGGGAGTGTGATTTCTCCAGTTTTGTTCATCTTTCTCAAGACCACTTTGGCTATTCAGGGTCTTTTGTGGTTCCATGTAAATTTTAGAATTGTTCTATTCTGTGAAAAATGCCAGTGGAATTTTGACAGGAATTTCATTGAATCTGTAGAATGCTTGGAGCAGTATGGACATTTTAACAATATTAATTCTTCTAGTCCATGAGCACAGAATATCTTCCCATTTGTGTCATCTTCAGTTTTCACCAATGTTGGGTAGTGTTCAATGTACAGGTCTTTTACCACCTTAAATTTATTCCTAGGTATTTTATTATTTTTTAATGCAGTTGTAAATGGTATTGTTTCCTAATAACTCATTATTAATGTATAGAAACAGATTTCTGTATATTGATTTTGTACTTGCAAGTTTACTGAATTCATTTAACTTTTTTGGTGGAATCTTTAGGGTTTTCTATACATGTCATTTGCTAGTGACAGTTTTAGTTTTTCCTTTCCAATTTGGATTCCTTTTATTTTTCTTGCCCACTTGCTCTGGCTATGACTTCCAGGGCTATGTTGAGTAACATTTAAAATTTGATATAAAAAGCAAAGTGACCCAATGAAAGCAGTTTGAAACTAAATGTTGAACATTCACTGAGTCCCTGGGACCAACTCCCTTTTTATGTAGCCCCATGAGGGTCATGTAGGTTGTGGAAGTAATCCTTGTCACAAACCATCTCAAAATTTGAGGCTTAAACAGTAATTGTTCTTGCTCATGGTTTCTGTGGGTCAGAAATTTGGGAAAGGCTCTCCTTTGGCAATTCTGATGCAGGGAGTTTGATGCACTTATTTCCTGGAGCTGGAACAGCTGGAGGCTCAGATCCTAGGGACTGGCCAGGCATCTCTCTCTGCTTGTGGTTTCAGGTCTTTCCATGGGGACTGGTTTGACCTTCTTCACAGCATGACAGCCTCGGGGTGGCAGAGCTTTCCCACATGGTGGCTCAAGGATTACCAGAGCTCATGTGTTCCAACAAGCCAGCTGTCACCTGCACAGCCTTTTATGACCTAGCTTTGGAAATCACATAGCATCATTTCTGTCACATCATCCGGTCACCTCTTGATCTGAGGAATGTCAAGAGACTTTACTGACATTTTACAATTGTCACTTCCACTTCAAACCCATTTGGTATGGGAAGAAGGGAAGACATTGTGGAGTTGGCCTTTGAGCTAGTTCGTGAATGGATTTTGACATTCTAAAAATTGATCTGAGAGAGAGAAAGAAACGATTTGTTGTTCCACCTATCCATGCATTCATTGGTTGCTTCTTACATGTGCCCTGACTGGGGATGGAACCGCAACCTTGGTGTCTCAGGATGACGCTCTAACCGACTGATCTACCTGACCAGTGCCGGATTTTGACATTTTGCATGGCATTAGCAAGGCTTAGAAATAACAAATCGTTGGTGAACAACAGTGAGTGAGTGCTTGACTGCAATCTGGTGGCTAAAGGGGAGAAAGGAGCCAAGAGGCTAGACTTGTGGGCAAGGTCAAGGAATGCCCAAGAAGCTTGGAAAGGAGAAGGCAGGCAGAAGAGTGATGAAGGTTCCTCTCCCCTTCAGACAGTCACCATAGGAGAGACGGTGGACTTTCCTTCTTGGCAATGGCAAGACCGCTTGAGTATGGTGGTATTACAGGAGTTTTACGTCAGTCTCCAACTTGATAGTAGTATCAGGTAGCTATGAGCAGATTTCTGAAATATGGCTTCATTAGTTGTTTGAACTATCACTTAGAATGTGACAGGTTCTGAGGGCACCTAAATAAATGTGTTGATGTCTGAATAGAGCAGTCTCCTAGAGGCACCTGCTGTGTTGATCAGTGTGGTCTAGAACTTTCTGTGCTGGAAATATTTTATAATCTGTGCTGTGCCATTTGGATAATACCTAACCACGTGTGCCATTGGGCATATGAAATGTAACTAGGACTAGAATGTATTTTTAATTTTAGTTAATTTTAATTTAAGTAGACACACGTGCCTAGTGGCCACTGTTTTGGCCAGCAAGGTCTAGATGAAGTATTTGACAACAGAGAGATGAGCAAAGTGCTAGGGGGATCCAGAGTAATGGGACTAGCCACACACTAATGCCATCCTGGCTCAGGCTTACAGCCTGAATCTGAAAAAGTAAATGTCTCACGATAGTGTATGTACCCCAGAGAAATATGCCACTGAAGTATACCACCCAAGACCCTAAAGTAAGGGACAGTAACAAATGAGCCATCTGGGAGAAATACACAGGTTGGTGAGAATTCACAGCTCTCTTAGGAAGGCACTGAGGGGTTAAATTTTAGCCCTGGAACTCCCTTTTCAAATGGAAACTTCCTGAGACAATAGCAAATAGGGGCTATTTTAGTTCAAGGCGGGGGTGGAGGCCCAATGGCTGTGCTGCCTCAGCCACAGAAATGACAACAGTGAATTCCTCTTCCTCAGAACCTCACTCCACACTGCAGCACATCTGGAGGTCAATAATGAAGCTTCAGGTTTATTGTTGGAAACAAATTTATTCTCAGAATAATGCACAAAAAGCACAAGTCGAGACTACCGTGGGAGGCTTCCCCTGCTCCCTCTGCCGCCACCTCCCCCTCCTCTCTGAATGCCAGGGAGAACACCGTTGAAGGAAGAAACATGCAATCACAAACAACGAACAACTCTAAAGACAAAAGGTTTGGTCCAAAAGAACTCAACATGATTAATCCAATTATGTGAAGAGCTTCACTGAGTAGGATTACGATACTGCAGATGTAGTGTTTCCACAGGGTGGCTCTTCAGTGCACCAGGGGGGCCTGCTTGAGGGAGATGAGGACAGAGCGCATGCGGGAGACGTCTTTGGCCTGCTTGCTGGACTTGGGGTTAAAGTCACACAGCCGGGCCACCCGTTCCCACTCAGTGCCTGGGGATGACTCGTCAATGTCATTTACAAAGGCTTCTTCTGCTGCCCTGGAAGCAACAACAAAATATGTTGGTTTAATGTAGAACTCTGTGAGCTACCTGGTGGCTGCCTTGTTTTAGAAGCAACTGCATCTTCATGCCTGACTTAATGGCATTCTGGTTTTCTGAGGAATCACAGCCCTTGGCCCAGGTCACACTCGAGAGCAGGCACGTGGCCAGCTCCCCTAGGCACAGGGTGCCTGGACTGCCGTGTAAAATGTTGGAATACAGGTGTTTGGTTCAGGGCTCTCTCTCTCTCTCTCTCTCTCTGCTGACACAGAGCATTAAAAAAGCAAGTCCTCAGCCAGCTACACAACATCCTCATTAACAAAAGCAAAGCAGAGGCTTGTCAAGAACTTGCACAGTAGTTTACCGTCGGGCTGTACTAAGTTTCACATCAATCTAGACTTCTAGGAAGCCCACAGTTCACTGCACAACAGCTTCTGGATTTACTCCTAAGGCTGGAGAGAAACAGGGCAGATCAAAAGGAATTCAAAACAAGCTCCCATGCTAGCAGGCATTAAAAACTAAAGCCATTCTGGAAGGGGTTTGTTAGGACATTCTCCAGTTCAGCCATTTTCCCTCCAGCCAGGTACCTTGGGCCACTGAGAGCACACTGCGGCAGGGGTGGGCACCCAACAGCCAGAGAGCCAATCAACGTTAGGTGCTTTTTGGCAGGATGCTGCTCCAACCTTCTTTCGGTCAAGGTCAGGCCACCCCCACCTGGGAACCAGCTGGTGGGAGCTGTAGCCCAAAATTTGGACAGTGATAGGAGGGAAGACACACTATATTCATCTACTCCAACAAGCATCACGGGCAAAGCAAAAGCAATGGAGGTGACTGGTCCGTGGGGACAGAGGGTTGCACTATCACAGGGATGGCCGTGGCAAACACTGCTGAAGCCAGAGCCACTACGACACTGCGACTGCATGGCACACACAGTTAGGGGCAGTGAGAAAGATTTACTTAACTGTTCTAGGCTGTAGCAAGGATGGTTTATGTTTGTGCTTAAAGGTGAAGAGAAGAAAAGAAACAAGGAAACTTTAGGTCAGATATAGAAAATGAGAATGAGTTCAATGCAGATGGTCAGTAAGCTAGACATGCCCCTGCCACTCTATTTACGCTCGGGAACGTGCAGCTGGCTTTGCTGGGCCACCCTGCTGCCCAGCAAACCCAGACTTGACCTGTCTAGTCTCCATTTCTACTCCAGAGAGAATGTGCAAAAATCAGATCCAACACCACCTGTAAGTCCAGCATTTCACAAGTCTCATTGCAAATACATCGGAGGGCCCAGGAATCCCAGTTCTGCCTTCTAGTGGGATGAACAGCTCAAGATCACGGGCCGCAGAGGCTCTACGGACCTCTCAGCCCGCTGTCGCCCTTCCTGTCCACTCCTCTCTTCCTCCACTCCACCCTCGCCTTTCTTTACTCAAAATCCAGTTGTAATATTTAAGGGGGAAACAGTTTCCAAGTCTTCAGCAATACTGTTTTGGTAACAGAAATCCTTAAGAACAAAAAAAAAAAAAAAACAAAAAAGCTTCGAGAGAAGATTCAATTTTCTTTGGAAGAAAAAGCCGAAGTGGCTCATGTCAGACAGCTTTGGCTGTCTTTACCTCAAAGCTCGGGCCTCTCTGTGCAAGGCTGAGGGGACAGGGCATCAGAAGCTGGCCACTACACAGCGATTTCTGACAGGTAAGACCACAGAGGAACCATTACAGGCCCGCAGCAGAGACAACCCCCCTCTGCCCAAGGGAGAAGGCAACCAACCCCACACGTTCTTCAAAGGAACCAAGTGTAGAAAATGCTGCTGCCCCCACTGGCTCCTAACCAGGACGTCCACCTCTCCCAGGTGGGGACACTTCCCCTCCCCTCCTGGGACAGGGAGGTAGTGGTAGCAGCAACAGCAAGAGGCAGGGCCCTCCAGTCCCAAAGCCTTCCCAGACACAAACGACCCACATTTTGAAAGGGATTCATTCAGCTCCTTCCTTCCCTCCAAAACCCAAATATGAAAAATGGCAATCAGAGTTGTAGGAAGTCATGATTCTGCAAGACAATCAATGGATCACATACCCCCAGCTTATCAACTCTTAAGCAGCCCCCACGGTGCCAATTTGAAATCATTTAAAAAGCAAAGGAACTTGTGGCATAAAAGGTGCATTAACTCTAAACAAAAAATAGAAAGAATCAAAACAAAAGGAATTAGTTTTGCAACATACACATAACCAATCACGTCAGCGAAGGGTTGTTTGTAGAAAGCTTCGTCTGCCACCCTAGACAGCAAGAGGTCCAAAAGGCAGGCAAGCAGGCAGGAAAAAAGAGAGAACATTGAGAAGCAGAAACATCTCAAATCCACAATAGAAGCACTACTGTGCTCTGGGAAAGCTGGTCCCAAGGCTCCATCCTAACCCAAGGGAGGCTTCCAGCACGGGAGACTCCGGCAGGCACGGACGGCCTCCCCGCTGGCCTTCCCCGCAGGGATTCTCCCATCGCCTCACCCCAGCCACGACGAACATTCCCTAGGCACCTACTTACGGGCTAAGCCCTTTTATCGACGTTGTGTTGATTCAGTTCTCAACGCCAGCAACCTAAGACACTGAGTGTTCACCGCATTTTACAGATGAGGCAACGGAGGCCTGGAGATGAAGCAACTTGCTCAGCAGTAAGAGGCAACAAGGACAGGACCCACAACCAAAGTTACCTGGCTCCTCTCACTGTATATTAATACTTCCCGGCTGGTGTGTGCTCAGGAAGCCATGTCCCCTCCCTGCCAGACTCAGTAACTATCACTGGGCATGAATGCTGCCAGACACACTAGGTCCCAAAGCCAGTTTTATCTTGGATTATCCGACCACTGCTTCCCTACACTTGCTGGGTGGGATCAATTTTCAGTACCCTAGGAACACTTACAGTCATTTCAAAATTCCCACTTTAGAGAAAAAAGCAGCTGGAGGTAAGGTCTGATGCAAAGAACTGCACATGAGGGCTCTGGATCTGGTTCACTACGTGTCCCCGAACAGGACTGTCTGCTTAGTCCAGGCCAGACTTGGCTTTGACAAGGTGCAGTGCAGAAGCCAGCACCTCACCCTTCCTTAACTCCCACTCACATCGGCAATGGGTCCAAATGGCAGGGCTCTGGGATAAGAAGGTGGGGACTTGCTGAGTAGAGGAGCTCACATCGCAGCAGACAGGCTGGCTTGGACCCTGCCGCAGGCCGCGCACGCTATTCCGCTGTGGGTGGGTGGGGACCCTCCCTCAAGGAGTCTTGCCCTGTCCTCTGCTAAGTCAGTCTGGGGCACAGGAATAGAAGGGACCTTTTTTTTTTTAAAGGCTGATTTTTGTATTAACATTAGCGCACATATTTATTTAGAGGGAAGTGCCACTAATTTTAATTTCAGTTTATTTCTAAACTCACACATACCCTTCCTTCTTTACCATTTTGCATTATATGTAAGCGGTGTTCTGTGGAAATTTAAAGCAAGCAAAAAAGAACAGCCTGATTGTAGCTCAAAGTGAGTCAGCAGGAAAACAGAATTGTTTGTGGGCAAAGTGAGTGGGAGGGAAAAGAAAAGGCAGGCCAGCTGGTAAACCCATAATCCTTTTAGCTTACACAAAAGGACTAAACCTAATCAATTTCAACTGGTGCTTGCTTCTGCTGGAAGAAAATAAAGGTTTAATGAGTACTGTCAAGGCATCACTAAGACAACGAAAGCTTGAATGTAAGGCCTTTTGCTCGTCTGTAGCTAGTCCCAGGACTTAAGAGCTTGCCTGACAGCACTGCTGTCATGGTACAGACTCAGAAAAATGGAAAACCTCATTCAAGAAGCACAGGTGGCCCCCCCCCGACCTGTTCGCCCTTCCCCCACCAGGAGGAGGAGCCAGAGCGCAGCAATCCTCGCGCAGGGCAGGAAGGGGCTCAGGGAAGCCTGGGAGAGGGGAGGAGGAAGGCCTTCCAGGCCTGGCCACAAGGCGTCAGGAGGCTGCCAACCTGTTTGCCCCTTCCTGCCTTGCCTGAGCATCATGGAGTCTGCAAACTTTTACCAGCCCTGAAAGTCAGCACCGAAGCTACCTGTGAAAGGGGAAATGTTTGTGTTACAGTTTGGGAAGGAACATGGTCTTGGGTTCTGGAGGGATAAACCCCTCTGCCTGGCTCCTATGAAGAGAACTCTTTTCCATGTGTTGTCACTCACCATATTTTGCCGTGTATAATGTGCTCCTGTGTATAATGTGCACCTATGTTTGTGGCCCAAACTTTCAGGGAAAAAAGTTGTTTAATTTTATTCAGTATCTTATTTACTTATATTTGGAAAAAATCGATTATTGTATTCCAGGGTATTATTTTGCACAGATATCGTTACTGCTTTCTAGTCACACTTTTAATGCATAAGCATAAATAAAAGAATTACACATTTATATAAATACAGAATTAGTACTACCCAAGCATGTATAATGTGCAACCTTATTTTTCCCTCAAAAATCTGGGCAAAAAGTACACATTATTCATGGCAAAATACAGTAATTCATGGCTCTTGTTCAGTGATATTCAGGCCCTATAAAGGAAGGAGATGCAGTCTGAGGACTAATACAGACGGGAGATGCCGTGACAGGGCCTGTTGACTGTCGTCTGTCCACAGCCAAGCACAGTGCCTGGCACAGATGTGCTCTGAAGGCTTCAGCTGAGGGCATCTGAAGGTAGGAAGCCTGATGATACACTCGTCAAAACAGGCCCTTGCTATCCGAGTCTCCTTTTTCAAACTTCTCTCTGCCTTGTATCTGTGGTCCCCGGGAAGCATCCAGCTGCTGCAACAGTCACCCAGGAAGAACAACACTGCTTGAACTGAGCACCCCCATTTTCTTTTCTCAAAATATTTATTATTTACCTGCAGGCAGACAACCAGAAAGATGAGTCACTTTACACATATAAAAGGGACTTACTCCTTTGGTCCCATGAGGCCGAACCATCAGAAGCAGTTCCCCAAAGTGGTTCTATAATGGCTTCCACCCCAGCCCACTGAGGAATAATTGGCACAAAGTGTAGAAACCATTCCTTCTGGGGCGCATATCAGAGGCAACTGATTGATGTTTCTCTCCCTTCCCCCCCTCTCTAAATATAAATAAATAAAATCTTTATTAAAAACAACAAACTGTCCCTTCTGTCCTGGAACCCTGGTGACAGTGGCTAGTGTGCTATTAGCTTTACACACTCAGGGCCAGCCCTGTGCTGCAAGGTTTCTACAGGGCAGGTGAAAGCTCTGTATTCTCGGTGAGTGCGGAGTTCAATTCTCTTCCCCTCTCTGGCACCTCGGTTCATCTCCGAGACTATCCAACCCAACATTCTACAATTCCACATAAAGAAAAGCACACCGAGCCCTAAATCAATGCCTAGAGAGACTAAGCCTTTACGACTCAGCTCTTATAAACACGTGTAATTATTCTCTTCAAGGACAACGACTTCTGTATATAGACAGAAAGGATACAAGTTTAGCAAAACTGGCTTGAAAAAAATTTCTGCAATGGGAAGCCTGTTCCTAACATAATCATATTTTAAGCCTGAGACTCTGAATCCAACTTGCTTAATGCTCAGGGACTCTGGACAGGGAGGGTCAGCCCACTTTTACCAAGTACTTCAGAGCAGACTCAGGGGCGAGGGGTAAACAGGACCTTGCACAAAGCACCCACTCATCTTTCTTTAAGAGGCATGAACTTGCAGCTGGGGTAACCATCTTAACCGACCACAGGATAAGGCAGCCTGGACCTGTCAGCACTTTAAAGTGATCACAGCTCAGCAGAAGCCCCAGACCTGAAAGCAGTCCCCTCCGTACTTATCACAGAACTTCAAATGGAACCCCAGTAAGCACAGAGAGAGAGCATCCCTCACAGGAAGGTGGCCAGGACAGAGGCTCAAGCCTGGCATCTGAGGGGCAGCTAACAACCAATGACGGCCAACAGGAGACAGCTGAAGGCTGCTATACGAACTGTCTGTTCTGCCACTGTTGCTCCACAGTGGCACGGACTGGCTGGCAAAGCGATCCGCTTCCCCTTTTCTGGCAGATTTCCATCTTAATAAAGCTGACAGAGACAAGGGCACTTATACTCACTTCTGCTCTGAGGATAGGAACCTAAGGCTTTTTACCCTGCAAATTAAAACTATCCCCAAGACCAATCGGGCCTATCTACACTAAAGTGGGAGAAGTCAACCCAGCAGGCAAAGCAAGCCCATCATACGCCAAAGCAACCACCTCCTTCTCCGAGCTCCTTCCCAGCGGGCCCTGGGCATACGGCATTAGGGGCTGCAGCCACTGGTCGGTGGCGACCTAAGAATGTTTTTGCCCACCACTGCTTAGCCTTCAGTGAGTGAGTGAATTCTGAAAAGTACATTTTTAAAAAGTTGACTCAAGATTTCCTACAGATAGGTCCCCAGAGAACCCTTAATTCTGAAGTTGCTGTGTTGGATGACCATCGTTGGCTGCTTCATTACAAAGCGCACTTCCCTACGAGTGGACGCCCCTGTGACGCAGCTGTCAGAGGGCAGGGCTGTGTTTAGGGGATGCAACATGACCAAGTCTATAAACAGCTTCCGTCGACTGAGGTCTTGGTTACAGTCATGAAAGCGGCCTTCCACTTAGGGTTCCAAGAAATAACTTTTCCTTTTTCTGTATCATACCATTACAAGTGGTGCATGTGAACCAAACTTTTGGCTATAGAGCTCTACTCGCTGTAACTAAAGTGGATAACAGACAGGCTAAATTATGTTCACAAGGCCCAACAGACTGGCAATCCTTACGTTTCAAGTACTTTTTTGCAAATCCATAGACATTTCACACTAATTGAGTCAGCAGCTGAGAACCTATCTTGGCTTTTGGAGATGGATTGGATCCAATCTTGGAAAACGAGCTGTACTAGAAGCACCACGGACTGACCTGTTATTTGCTTTTGTTTTCTGTAGCTGCTCATCCTGCCTCGCATACCACTCTTCCAGCTCCTTTATTGCTTTTTCTTTCCACTCTGCTTCTTGCTTCCGAGAATTGGCATCTTTGAAGGGAAGGAGAAGACAATACAAATGAAACAAAACACAAATTCAAGTTCATGTCATCAGTCTATTTTGGTTTTTTTTAAATTTTTAAAAACTGTGTTCAAGTGCAGTTGTCTCCGTTTCCCGCCCACCGCTCCCCCCTATTTTGGTCTTACTAAGCTTCTGCTGTGCGGGTGCTGGCGCACGTGCAGGCAGGTACTGGGGCGAGGGTGGTTGGGAGGTCAGATAAAATTTTATTTTTCCTGTCTGTACATCCAGCTCTTGACTTCAGTGATTCTATCCAAAGTGTTTCACCACATTTTATCCCAGTCCACTGACACTTTAGGGATCATTAGTTGGTGGTTTCTGTTTTTTTTTTTTGTGGGGGGGTAAGGTGGGGGGAGTGGAAATATTTAATAGAAAAAAGTTAGGGTGACAATTTAGGGAAAAGCAATAACAGATGATTCTTTAGTAATGCTGCCAATATTAGTTCAGGGTGAACTACTGACACTAGATAATCCTTTCATAAAATCATCTCACAACCTATATTCCACACCTCAGGGTGACAATTAATGGTTCTGTAAAACACAAGATGCTACTCACTCTCTTATTAACTAAACATGGTAGAAGAACTTGTATGAAGTAGGGAGCTATTAGGAAAATTACCAGACGTAGAGAAGATTCAGGAACCAGGGAACAGAATATAGATGTTAAGAGTTGGGAAGACCACAAAGTGTCTCTTCCTGCTTAGACTGCAGAGTGGGTTTGTGGCAGAGCTAGGACGGAACTACAAGAGAAACAAGCCCCAGTGAAGGGGACTGCAGAGGGCTGGGGGTCGTTACTAACAGTTATCCACAGAGGTTCTAGGAATTAGAAAATGCGTACCTGGCAGGAAGTTTCTCATATTTAAATGTGGATTTCCCTAAGACATTTAGCTACAATAGAGATGTGTGTCAGTAGAAAGGGGAGAAAAAGAAATGTTAGTCACAGCCACTGTTGTAGTTGACACCCGAAGTTACCCTGATACTTCACTTGAAAGACTGCAACTGTAGTCTCATAGTTGGCAGTGAGAAAAACTACAGCTCAAAGTTTGAGAAACTTTCATAAAGGTTGCTGTAAGCGGGAGAGTCAAGACTCAGACGCAGGCCTGGCTATAAGGCTCCCATGTTCTTACTTTATTATGCTGCCTCCAAAGGGCAGGACTGAAAGGGAAGCAAGCCTAGAAATAATCGTAAGATGTGACTGCAGGGCGATTGCCACTGGCCCAGACTAGAGTTTGGACAGTGCAGAGCCAGCGCCCAACCTGTAATTAGTGTCCTCGATGGGGAGAGTAGAAAGCAATTGCGGCGGCCAGTAACCATTCAAAGAGAGAAATAAAGCAACTTGGGGCATTTTTAGGGCCTTCGCAAAAAAAGTGTCTTGTAGAATAACATGCAGAAAGTGGTCTGCAACTCCTAGAATAAAAAGCATCTAGCCCTGGCTGGTGTGGTTCCGTGCTGGCCCGCAGACCAAAGGGTCGCCGCGTCAATTCCCAGTCAGGGCACAAGCCTGGGTTGTGGGTCAGGTCTCCAGCTGGGGACATGCGAGAAGGAACCACACACTGATGTTTCTCTCCCTCTCTTTCTCTCTCCCTTCCCCTCTTTCTAAAAATAAATACAATCTTTAAAAAACGAGCATCTAAAAACTCCCCCATGGTTTTACATTAAAAAATAACCTTTTACCCTGCTATCTAACTTGCAAGAAGGTCACGCAACCTATGGCTCAGAAGGAAAATTCGTTTATTCAGATTTTCTACTGATGACTCACATTCATAGAGTAAGCGTCTGATTACTCAGTGGCATGTCGGCCCACACCACTAAGTGTGCGTGGGAGAACGGAGGGTGCCACGACGCGATGGGAGCTGATGAGCGCTGACCGTGCCGTGTGGGCAAGAAACTGAAAAATATCGTATTTAAAATGTAAGGTCTCCTTTTCAAGACAGTGAAATTACTTCCAAAAAAATCACTTTTTGATTGAACAGTATTTTCTTTCTGTGTAGTCTGGTAACTTTAATGTTATATAATAGGAACAAAATATCACGGAAAATTATCTCTAAAGATTTTATCTAAGTAAGAATTGTGACCATCTGCACAAATTGTAGTTACTAAATAAAACTGTCCCTTTAAATTGTCTTTTACAGATTTATGAAGTGACACTATCAATTAGAATTTAGAATACTTAAACACTTAGCTTGATGAGACAGAGATCCAAGCCATAATACAATCTCTTTGAATCTGGGCGGGAGAGAAGGGGGAGGGAGGGAGGGATAAAGAGTCTCCTCAGACAGCAGGGCACAGTGACAGCTGTATCTTCTGGCCATCCTCATTACTATTCACAGAAAAGCAAATTATTTAAAAACAGCCAGCAGCTAAGCTGCAAACCGTTGACACTGGTTCTCTATTCTTAGCATCTTGTGCCTTCTCACAGTTCTTGCAAGGAGAAAAGGTGAAACTGAAGAAACACCTAGTTCATGGACAAATTTAATTCACTTCAATCAGAAGTAAGGCCAAATGTTCGACTTCCCTCCAGAAGGCATTTTGAAGAAAACAATGCTTCACAAAACATCCCCTAAATCCTTCAATTTGATAATCAAAAAATAAAATGCAATTTTCCCAGCCACCAAAGTGCACTCTCTCCATGAACAAAACAATTTTGCTAAACTCTGGGAAAAGAGAGAGATAAAGTTGGATTCTGTAACAAGAAAAATACTTACTAAGTAGTACTAAAACCAACTAAATCTTGCCTCTAAGCCTACTAAGGACACATATACAAGGAACAAGCAAGGACTGAGGCTGCTGGCGCCATGAAGACAAATTTTTATCTTTCTAAAGCTGCACTATCCAATACAGTAGTCACTAGCTACATGTGGCTATTTAAATTTATTAAAATTAAGTAAAATTTAAAATTCAGTTTCTTAGTCATATAATCCACATTCCAAGTGCTTAACAGCTACATGTGGTTAGTGGCTGCCACACTGTGCTGTGCCACCGTTCAGACACACAGTATTTCAATCATCAAAGAAATAACTATTGGAGAGTGTTGTAAAGGTTCAAACGTTAAGTGTGTCCTGTGTTCTGAAAGCTTTAACATAAATTGGCCTGGAGAGGCAACAGATTTGACACCACTTGGCTGTGCTATTTGGGTCATGTCCCTTCCTATTTCTAGGTCTCCATTACCCCATGTGAAATATAGAAGTCATATTTTCACTAGTTCAGTGGTCCCCAAGAAGGAATAATCATGCTGACACTCTGGTTATATAAAAGAGTGTATTTCTAGATTTACAATAAAATATTTAAGCATGAAGCATGTGATGTATTTTTAAAAGGATAAAAAAAAAGTGATCGCAGCTGGTGTAGCTCTCCACACCATGCCCTCTCCTCTCTTGGTGAAGAATAACCTTACCCTCTACACTTTCTTCTCTTAGTGAATTCTTTCACAGCCTGTTTCACCAACTACCCTGACATTTTGGTGGCCCACAGGGGGACATTCTCTATTTCTCCCTCTCCTCCGCCTCCTGAGACTTGCAACTACGGGAGCAGTGGGCAGTGGAAGCTTGACCTGGCCTGATCCCCTACCCTGTCTCTGTGAAGTTCAAAGGGAGGATTCTAACCTGGACTCTGGGGACAGCTTCCTCCTCACCCACCCTCGTGACCAGCAATCAGACTGGAAATTACTGGAAAGCAGGAACAGAACCAACCGCTCCCTAGGCAGAAGATAACAGTGGAACAAACTGCAGTCACGCCCTAAAAGCCCAGGGGCCACACAACAGCAACAACCCCCCACCTTTTTTGATCCAATTATAATTCGATAAAAGTTCAAAGCCCCACACCCTTAATGCTGGTGTATCTTTCCACACCACACCTTTCTTCTTTCGGGGAGAGTGAAAGAAAACTTTACTCTCCACAAAAAAAAAAAAAAAAAAGGTGATTGCATATTCATAATACCCATATCTTCTTTCAACTATTCTGTGTTTGAAATTTTAATAAAAAGTGGAGAAAAAGATAACCCATGGATAACATACCCACACTCTGCCACCCTCTCTAACCTGCATATCGTTACAAAGTCTTTCCTGATCTTGCCCAACAGCTGACACTCCATGTACACAGCTCTTCACCAAAGGCCGGGCTGGCTGGCACTGACCTTAGGCTTGGCCTGCCCAGCGAGATGGTGTACGTTAAATGCAATGTAGACTCTGAAGCAGGGCAGACTTACGCTGAAATTCTGACTCTACCATCTCTAAGCTGTGTGATTCAAAAACTTATTCTACCTATGCATTTCACTTTCTTCACCCATAAAAATGTAAACTTACCTTCCAGGGATATTAGGGTAAGAAAACTAAATTGTATGTGTTTCCTGACATTGCTCACATTTTCCTCTTAAGCACTACCTTAAATTCAGCCTTCAGACTTCCATTTAAGAGGCAGGTGTACATAAACATGGCTTGCTTCCTTGCACAACCACAGCAAAAATTACAACTAAACTACAAAACTATCACCCGGAACTGTCTGAAAATCAAGCTGTATGGACGTCCAACCACCAAGGAATTAAAGAAGTTCCATTCATCCAGATGGGTAGGAGGGGCAGAGCCGTGGAACGGGCAGTTCCACACCCTTATGTGGTGAGTAAAAATCAGGACTACCACCTCAGGAGCGAGGGACACCAGACTGCCCAGCCTAGGGACCCAGTGCCAGGAATGTAAATCTGCATAACATTAGACTATAAAAACCAGTAGGGGTTAGGGCAGTGGAAGAAACTGCAGGATTCTCAGGTATCTCCTCTTAAAGGGTCTGTATCCGTCTTAGGACTTCCTCTGGGACCCCAGCACTGGGGCAGCAGCTGGAAGGGCACCAGTGGCACATGGGGAGAAACTGAAGTGTCAGGCATCATGGCAAGTGCCAGGGAACAACTTCCTCCAGGAGAAATACCAGAGGCCAGGCAGGAGCCACGGTCCCTTTTCGGAGCCCTCCCCGACACAGCAGCACCATTATCTGAGACTCCTGGTTCGCACGGGCTGCCCCACCCTGGTGATCACCTAAGACTCCGCCCCATCCAACTTACCCGCGAACTTTTCTACAATAGGCCAGCGAATCAAAGCAGCTCTACCTGACACATAAAAAAACGAACACAGGGAGGCTGCCAAAATGAGGAAACAAAGAAACATGGCCCAAATGAAAGAACAGAACAAAACTCCAAAAAAATCTTAAAAAAAAAAAAAACAACAAAAAACGGAGATAAGCAATCTATCAGATGCAGAGTTCAAAACACTGGTTATAAGGATGCTCAAGGAACTCACGGGGTGCTTCAACAGCATCAAAAAGACCCAGGCAGGCCCTCGCTGGTATGGCTCAGTGGATTGAGGGTTGAGTGCTGGCCTGAGAACCAAAGGGTCGCTGGTTCAATTCCCAGTCAGGGCACATGCCTGGGTTGTGGCCAGGTCCTCAATTGAGGGCATATGAGAGGCAACCAATCAATGTTTCTCTCCCTCTTTCTCCCTCCCTTCCCCCTTTCTAAAAATAAAATAATTAAAATTTTAAAAAACTATGGACATTAAATACACAACTATTCATAATTGAATCTTAAAAACAAACCAAGAAAACAAGCAGAACAGAAACAGAATCACAGATATGGAGATCATTTGAAGGGTTACCAGTTGGAAGGGAGAGAATGGGAGAAAAGGTACAGGGATTAAGAAGTACAAACTGGTAGGTATGAACTAGATAGGGTGATGTTAAGAACGATATAGGAAATGGACTAGCCAAAGAACTCTTATGCATGACCCATGAACAGGAACTAAGAGGGGGTACTGCTGGAAGGAATGCGGGTACTGGGTAGCAAAACGGGAAAAATTGGGACAACTGTAATAGCATAATCAATAAAATGTATTTCAAAAAATTCAGCCTTCAAATGATAAATGGATTGTGAAGTCTCTCACATGGATACAACACCCTCAAGTTTACAAAGCACTCTCATAAATACCATCTCAGAATACCCTTGGGGTTGGTGACACTGATCTTACTTCTCTCAGGTGAACACACAGAGTCTTCAAGGTTTGGGCAATCAAGTGCCACAGCTGGTAAGAGTATAGCTGGGCTTTCAACCCAGTCCTTCCCTCCAAGTCCACGGCTCCTTTCCATAGCATCGCTCTGCTCTTTTGAGAGGAGAGAGATGATGCACTTGGTGGCTCTCTGGGCTGCTCTAATCCTTACACAATGGCCTGTGATTAAGTGTCTGCGCATCAGTAGCCTTGTGACCTTCAGGTTGAGAAAGATTATCTTCCCAAATACTAAACAAGGACATTATAGCTAATTCAAGTGAAAAAGGAATAAAAGGAGAGTTAAGGTCAAGTATTCCACTGAAAACAGACACCCAAAGATAGAAAGGGATTCCTTACCAAGGGCTTCCAAGCGTTCCGTTTGCTCTTCTCTCCATTTACGGATACTTTCAGGTTCTGATTGCAATCGATCCACTTGTGAAATAGCTGCGTAACTGTCTGTTGGACCATTACTTTCCTTAACACAAAACACAATTGTACTCTATCAGTACCAAAAACTCCTTCCTGAAATGCACTTCACCCAAGTTAGATCCCCTGGCTATGCACAGCACTGACAAATATAAAATGTTGAAGGATTGCCTTAAAAGCAAGAACACAACCTTACATGCAGATAGGGAGCTTTCAACATTACTGCACTTAATCCTTACCATCCATGAGGAGGCAGAGTAGCTGTTATTCTATCTGTTAATAAATGGGACATGAGTGGGAGATAGGAAAGTCAGGGAGGCGAGTAATGGACTTCCTAGGAAACAGTGTTATCAGTTTTGGTATCCTCATTTGACAAGATTATGTGATATTTTCAAAGTAACAAAAAGTACACAGCAGAGCAAGGCCTAGATTTTAAGACCTATTATACAATGCAGGAAATAGGTCACTTAATACCACCTAATCAAAAAATTTGACGACAGAGTCCAAAGGAAAATGTACAATAACTGTAGTCACACCAAAGAAAAAACAAAAAGGCAGGCGATCATTGAGCTGTGTGTGTGTGTGTGTGTGTAGGAGAGCAGAATGGTCTTTATAATGGGCTAGATTTGGGAACTAATAAATAAATTAACAAAGATTCAAACAAAACTTAACCTTTAGAGAATTATTTCACCTGTTGAACTAGGTATTCACCAGTTTAACGTAAGTAGACAGTAAACAAAGGTAGAAAAAATTATTTAAAATATTAGCAACTAACTCATTAACATTTTCCATGTGTCAGGTACATAAAAGCTTTCTCTCCCAAACACCCTACAAAGCAAGTTTTTATTCCCATTTCACAGCTGGGGAATTAAACTGAGGCACAGAGAAATGACATGTCCTAATTCATAACTAGTAGGGGATAAAGCCAGGATATGAATCACATTCTGTCTCACTCTAAAAGACAAATTCTAAACCAGGGGTCAGAAACTACAGTTCAGTCCTGTTACATGCTTTGTAATTAAATTTTACTAGAACACAACTATGCCAATTAGTTTATACAGTGTCTATGGGTGTTTTCATATTACAACAACAGCATGGTTTAACAGATCTTATGACTCACAAAGTTTAGTATGTTTACTATCTGGCCATTTACAGGAAAAGAAAAAGTTCATCTTTGGTTTAAACCAATTACCCTTATCTCATCCTTCTTGCCAGTTAATTGGTTGAGAGACAGGCAGAAACCCAGGCAGCAGCTAAATACCACACCATTCCCTCAGGCTACAGTGATTACTTGATTAGCTCAGATGGAAGTGCAGGGCTTTTCTGGGGTAACTGGGAGAAGAAAAGATAACCTCGTTTTGTTCTACAATATCTGACACGCACACGTGAAGTCTGGAAGTGCTGCAGCCATTTCACCGCCATGAAAAGAACCCTGAGTATAAAACTGCACACTCAGCAGGCAGAGCCAAAGGTCCGAGGAACTAAGTCAGAGTTCTGGTCTGAGGACACCTGACCTATGTCAGAGTTCTTTCGATTATAAAAACAAGCAAGTTCTCTATTTAAGCCAATGCAAGTTGGGCTGGCAACCAACAGCTTAGTGATATGGGGGCAAAGCAATGGTATTCATCACAAACATCTGCCCCCCACATCCTCAGGACAATCTAAAATGTTCAAATGCTAGCCCTGCCACATACTGCCTTTGCCACTTTAGACTACTGATGGAAGCTCTGTATTCCTCTCTCTTCATCTGTAAAACGGGAGTAACAGCAGTATAGGTCCCTGAGGTGGTTGTGAGAATTAAATAAGATTAATCATAAACAGTGCTTGACACAGAGAGTGTTTAAATTCACAGTCGTCATCGTCGTCATCATCATGATCTTGAAAGGTCATTTCTGAAGGATAAAGTCGATAACATTAGGGCCAGGTCAATAACGTTTTAAAATAATGCTCTATCAGTGTCTCTTCTTTTCAAATCCTTGTACTTTGGCAGGTAACATACCAAGTACTAATACATCCAGGACAGTCAAGGGAGTGGGATCCTTTCTAGGTCAGTCAATTCAAATCACAGGAAAGGAAGACTCTTGAGCACTATCATGCAACATAATCAGAGTACTGTGTACCTGGTAGTATTCACCATTCATCACTCCATCAACAGCATCTGTAAGACATTAAGGTTGCAGTTTATCAATCAGGGCTGTTCGAATGCTGAGCCCAATGTTTACAGAGTAAAGTAAAATACATCACCATATGCTATGGGTACCACACGTTATTCAATGCTACTTCTGTGCTACGTACAAGATATTAACACTGAAAAGCTTTCTAATTAATGAAACCAAGACGTGCTTATATACAAATGACTTAACTAAAATGTCAACAAATCTGTTCCATGCTCCCCGGCCCAAAAGCCTTTGACATTCTGCTTTCTGGCTTAGAGAGAACACATTAGAAGCATGGCATAAGAGTCTCACAGGGCAAGAGTGTTTCTCTACAAGAGTTCTAGAGAAGGCCAAAAAAAAAAAAAAAAGCCCAGATTCATTCACACCGAGCAGAGATGTGCTGCTTCATGTTCAAATCAATGTGCCTTCTTGGGGTTCAAGACTCGCCATACTGTGGCTGCAGTAGGTTTGGCACCTAAGAGCTTTTAATTGAGACTTTTTGCTAATTCCTACAGTGCACCTGGAATTTGTCCAAAACATTAACACTTGTTCATACCAAATTAAATTAGTCTTTTCAAGGATGCAAGTTTTAAAGGAAAGTGTACAATCTAGCCTTACAGACAGAATCATTCATAACTAAATAAGAACGTCCATCTCAGAAACATTAAAAACGCCTAAGCAAAACTTAGAGACTATCAATCCACATAGTACAAAATGGTGGCCCAAAAGGCTGAACATATTTTATATAAATACAAAGTACGAAGTTAGGAAATTACACAGATCAGGATTTCCAGGTCTGGGGAGGGAGGCAAGGAGACAGAAGACCTGACAACAACAGGCCTGCATTTCTGAACTGGCAACACTGTTGGATGTGAGGGTAGCCCTTACACGTAGCATACCCGTCCCACTTGCCCCACTCTATTCTTTTTTTAAACCCTTTCTGTGTTGAATTTAGTTACCTGGCTGGCCTGATTAGCATGTGTTCCTAACCCAGCAATCACTAAGAGGCAGTCCGTACAGCGTTGTACACCATCAATCAAGTGGCTGCTCTGACTTCCTCCAAAAGCCTCAATATAGACACCGTAAAAATTTAGCTTCTACCTACATAATCTGTATTCCATATCTGTTGGTTGACCCACATTTATTACCTATTATGTAGAACTTCCATTATTTGTCCAATTTTTTTCAAACTACAAAGACATCTTATTACATGGAGTAGAAAAGATGAAAGAGATGAACCTAAAAGATTTAAGAATTCAAGAAGTAAAAGGAATGCCAAGCATTTAATTAGGGCCACCATCAGGAGGCCCTCAGAGGGTAGTACATAGAAATAGCACAGCTCTCCTGGAGGTCTGGGGCAGGTGCTCTCCGCCTCGTTCTTTCCTTCTAGGAGGCAAAGATTTCATCAAACCACTCCTCTGGTTTTGGTTCCTAACTAACTATAGCCATACCTCATTTTATTGCACTTTACAAATTGAAGGCAGGACTCTCCACCATAATAAAAAAGATTAAGAATCCCTTTATCGTAGTACTAGCTTTATTGCGATGGTGGTCTAGAATTGAACCCACAATATCTCCAAGGGATGTCCATAAATGCATTAACTGCCCATTTTCCAAATTAACATTAACATTTCATTCATTCCTTTGGTTCTCTTGCTTCTCCCAATTACCCTCCTTCTCGGCTTTGGGAATACTAAAAACTTATAGATCATTTTCCCAGCATGTCTCCCTGATACCAAAACATTTTAATTTTATTTTGCCAGGAAAAAAAAAAAAAAAGACTTTATTTTTACAGAGCGGGCAAGGAAGAAAGAGAGGGAGGGAGAGAAACATTGATGTGTGAGACAAACATCAACTGGCTGCCTCTCTCGCATGTGCCCCCAACTAGGGACCTGGCCCACAACACAGGCAAGTGCCCTGACTGGGAATCGAATTGGTGAGCTTTCAGTTCATAGGCTGGTGCTCGGCCCACTGAGCCACACCAGCCAGGACCAAAACATTATTTTTTAAAAAAGGAAAATGAAGACATAAGAAAATGCCATGTAATTTCTTCACTCAACCCCTTGGTTTCTATCCTGTTAGTTTATCTAATGTGTATAGATAAAAATTTTCACCAAAATTGGGCTCTTACAATGTAACTTCTTAAGTAACCTATCCATCTTATTAAATTCTCAACTTTATTAGTATGAAGACATCAACTACTTATCACCTCCAATGTGCCACGCACAGTGTTAAACACTTTATAAACACTTAATTCTCATAATAAACCTGTATGTATCAGCACTTCACAAATGACATTAAGAATATGCATAGGGTCCTGGCTGGTGTGGCTCCGTGGATTGAGTGCCGGCCTGAGAACCCAAAGGCTGCAGGTTTGATTCCCAGCCAGGGCACACTGCTGGGCTGTGGGCTGGGTCCCCCGTTGGGGGCGTGCAAGAGGCAACCGATCAATGTAGCTCTCACACATCGATGTTTTTCTCCCCCCCCTTTCTCTCTCCCCTCTAAAAATAAATAAATAAAGTCTTAAAAAAAAATAAAAGAATAAGCATAGGATTCCTCGACACCTCAATAATAAAGTATTTTTGAAAGGGCAGGTAATTGATGACATTTCCTCTTAAATTTACTTTTTATGTTTAAGGAATGCTAAGACAAATACTAAATGCATGCATTATGAAATAATCAGCCTTTAAAAAGTGCTGCAATACCTCATACAAGCCAGGAAATCAGAGGAAAGATCATCAGATAATTGGATACACGAACACAAACTGCAGGATCTCAGCATTTACCAACCCACCTCAGCTTTGATCTGTTTCAATCGCTGGTTATAAACCTGGGTTATTTAAACATATTTCTCACATTTTTAACTTCATTTCCCTAATTCTGTTACTCCTATGCTTTATTTATGATAGTATAAAAATCAGTTTCTCAGTTTTTGTCACGGGCTTTTTATACTTAAAGCTGTTTGCGTTTTACCTACCCATATAATTTTTAAAAGTACTCCATACAGTTTTGGAAATACAAAGTTCACCAAAAACTAATCAAAGTATGGGAGGAGGGAATAGTCAATTGAACCTCAATAATATACACCCTTGATGCAGAACTGCCGGGTCACAGGATACACATTTTAAAGACTTCTAAAACACCAATCCCTTGCTCCCTTTTGGTCTACCACTTATATGATGACCATCAGCACATGCATGTCCCGTTTCCCAGACCTTCACAATACTAAAACCCGAGTTTTACCATGTTTTTAAATTTTTGCTAATTTGATAGCAGGTATTAAAACACACAAACAAAAAAAAAAACCCCCACAAAACTTAAGGTGGTCTTGTGCCAATCTTATTTCCTGTGAGGTAATTAAAAATCTGACATTTGATTTTCTTCTTTACTGAATTGTCTATTTTGCCCTTGTTTTTTTTTGCTTTTTATCTCTTAAGTATCTCTCTGTATTAATTCATCCTCTCATACTACAAGTGTTTTCCCCATTTGCTTTTAATATGGTTTATGCTATTTAACACCTAGAACTACTTAACTTACATGTAGACACTATCAATTTTCCCTTTATGATTTCTATAGCTGCTTTTATTCTGTAGACCTTTCCTCCTCTAAGATAAATATTCACTTTTCTCCTGGTACTTTAAATCCATGCAGAATTTATTTTTGTGTAAGGCAGAAAAGAGATCATTTTAAATCCTAGAGCCAACAAGCCAGACCGACATTCTGGTTAATATATTACAGCCAACATACCAACTATTCAGTTAATATATTCCAGCCCAGGGCTATTCCCAACAGGAAAGACTTTGATCACTACTCCATCACAAAACTAGAAGTACTCATCCCATATGTCCTGAGTCACATGTTACATGTCCTTTAGGCCTGAAGACTCATAGAGACCCACTGGCAAATACTTTGAACTCTTATTAGTTACCATACCACTTCAGTGACATTCAGTTGGCCCAAGTCAAAAGATTATCTGTGGCTACAGAAACATACAGAAAGGACATCGAGAACGCCCTGCTTTATTAGGACAACTACACTATGCAACCTGATGCTCCAGAAGCAAACTGTCTAGGGCATCCAGACAGAAGCAGGGTCAGAATATGTTCCCAGAGATGAAAGATTCTTTGTCCCAAACCCACCTTCAACCTCCCCTGTTCCCCAGCTTTCGAAGTTAAACAGACCTGGGTTTGAATTCCAGTGGAGCAGTGTATTAACTTGCTATCTTAAGATCACTGCTTAAATTCCATGGTTATCAGCTCTGATCTGAAATAGGATGACACTACCACTTAGCCCGCAGAATTACTGCATGGAGAGGGAAGTATGGAGAGAACCTGGCACACAGGAAACGGGCAGCACTGCTAAATACCACGCATGAGATTTCCTTCAACTTCTCTTTTCTTTACTTTTCTTGCTACCAAGAAAATTACCCTTCTCCTCCAGCTTTTAATTCATGTACCTCTTTTCCTCCTTCTCCTCCAAAAAAGGACTTGACAGAAACATACCAAACAGTGCCTCATTGCTGTACTCCTTCCGCAACTCCTTAATCACCTCTTACTTTCCTCTCTCCTCACCCTCTTGATTAAAGGCTTTCAAGGGCTCTGGACTTAGGCTGCCTCTTTCCTGATCACTGGCTCTTCCTTCAGTATCCCCCAGCTACTTTACCTAGCTGGTTACCTCCCACCTCTAAACTTGTGTATCTTTCCACCTCTCCTAACAACCTGGGGGAGTCATTCAGGGCTCAGGCCTAATCCCTCTGGTTTCTGCCTGTCCCATCTGCCGTGGGACATTCCCCCAAGGCTGAGAGTAGTTTAGGTATGTTCCTCAATCTGTCAGAACCTGACTATAACTCTCAGTATAACAACACATCAGATACAGAGCTCCCTCCTAAAATCTGTTTCCTCAATACATGCCTCCCCCCGTCCAAAGCCTAGAGGCCTTGTAACACCTTTCTCTCCATACTCCTAAGAAATAGCAGCAGCTAGATACATAGGGGTGTGTGTGTAGTAATAATACACTGCGCGTAAGCATGTTACAGGTGCTCTGTAATGTAATCCTAGCAACCCTCTGTGCTGTATATTTGCAACTTTCACAGAGGAAAAACTGAGGCAGGGCAGTAGTGGCTACACTCACACAAGCAGTCTAGCACAGCACAGAATCGAGGGAAAGGGAAGGGGAAGCGGAAAGGGCAAAGAAAGAGTGAGAGAAGGAAGGAAAAAAGTGTCCAACTCACTCTCTAATCCCCCAAGGAAGTGCTGACCACTGCACTATCCTCAACCCCAACTACACTGTCAGAGATCAGGCTTCAATCACTAAATGCTTAGTTCACTAAGAAAGTCCTTCCTAGGAACTAAGTCAGCAATCACCCCTTCCTTCCCTTTGCTGAAACCTTAATGCACAAAAGACCCATGTGGCCAACTCTGCTTTCTCCCTTTTACCTCTCCAAACTGCCCAGTCACCAAGATCTGCTGCTTCTAGGAAGGATCCTTGGGCAGGACGTTTTTGCCCATTCTTCTGTGAGTATTTACTACATGCCCGACATTCCGTACTCCAGGCTCTGCAGACACAACTGTGAGCAAAAGTTAACACTGTCCTCGAATCAGGACAGTCTCCTAACTATGGGTTTTGATTCTTCCACACTGTCCTGGCCAGGGCAGCCACAACTGCTTTCCAGAAATGACCGTCTTTTAGCCTACTACACCTCTGCTGAAACCACAACACAACAAGTAGCTCGGAGATACTGAAGGTACAGTCAAAGGAGAGCTCAGTCATTAACTTGCCCTTTTTCTTAAGCAAGTCATTTCTCTGTAAGACTTTTTCTCTTCTCTTAAACGAGGGAGGTAAACTAAGGACATAAAAAAGTATACTTTATGATTCTTAGGCAAATGTTAAAGACTACACAAGAACCACCAAAAAAAAAACAAAATGAAAGAAAACCAGTAAAAACCCTTATCCCTTAAAGCCAACTTCATCTCCAAGCCACAACCTAGTTCAGTCCAACCTGCTAGCTATAAATTGAATTTTCATGTATATTATACATTGCCATGTAAGTTCTAACTGGGGGACAGATTTGCTTAGGAGGTAGCACTGTATAGTATAAAAAGTCAGAGGCTGCAAGCTAGCAGGCGCCTCACCTCCACTCCCCCAAAAAGGTTCTGCTTGGCTGGCACAGTAATTTGAGCTCTCTAAGTCTGAATGCTTTTATGAAGAGCACTGTTCTAGAACAGCAAAGCCTCAGTCTCCAACACTCATTACCTCACACCCAGCATGTTTCTCTTATTTATGGTGAAACTACCTGGCACTTTAAAGTAACTCTCATCTGCCCCAACAGTGCCCTATTTTCCCTTAATCAGTTTTGTTTTGTTTTTTTTTTAAGTAAGTGAAAAGTCACGTCTCTTTTCTTCCAGGGAATTTCCTACTTCCCTATATTAATGAAAAGATCTCTGCCACTCAGCCTTTCCTCCCACCGCAACACCGTAAATGTCGCACACAGACAAAGCACTAAAGGTCACACTGGCATTCTACCGTGTTTTTGGTTTGTTGGGTTTTTTTTTTTTTTTTTTCCTTGAGTTGGGCTGGGAAAAGGCCACACTACATTCTGTCCGCCTCTTGCAAGACTGATCCAGGCTAATGTTAGGTTCTGCTTAGACAGCAGTGCCTACCAACGCTGTTCCCGACGAAGAGTTCCTGGAGTCCCAGCCATACCGTTTGGAAAAATGGTAAAACTCTTATCCCTCTTTCTCCAACTTACACCATCTTTCTTGAGTTCCCTACTCACTCCACTTTTCTTCCCCATAACCCAACATTCTGCACATCTTAAGTGCTTAAATGTATCACTGACATTTTTGTTTGTATGTCTCAAAAACTATACTATTTTTTTTTTCTGCCCTTCCTTCTTAGTAACTGGTCTTGTGCTGGGTTCAGGCTTGCTTTTAAGTCTGGCCAAATTGCGCCAATGCGGCTGTGCTCCAGAGTCCAGACTCAGACCCAGCAAGCGCTCAATGAAAAGTTCCGGAACTGAGCGGGTTTCTTCGGGCCCCCGAGTGTGACTATCATCCTATTTGCTTGGCTTTGCTTTCTCGCTGCGCCCGCGCGAGGAGCGGTGAAATACACTCAGAGAACCGAGCAGGCGTTCTGCATGACCGGGCCGGGGTCTGCTTCCTCGGCACCCCTCCCTAGTCTCGGGGTTCAACAACAGATCAAGAGTTACCCAGAGACCTCAAACCCACTCTGGGTCCAGCTTTCAGATAAGTCTTCCCACCCCAAACGCGTCCGCACTCTCACCCGGACCCCCCGGTGGCTCGCCGTGTGGCTGGGGCCCAGGGGCGCCGCCGTCCAGGATGGCGAAGGCCTCGTCGTTCTCGATGCCCGCAATCTCGCTCTCCTGCTGCGCCAAGAAGGCCGCGGCCGGGTCTTCTTCGCCCGCGCCGGCCACCCCATTCCCCAGCGCGGGGCCGCCGGGAGCGCCGGCGGGGGCGCCGAACGGATCTAGGTCGGCCATGGCTGGCAGTTCAACGGCACCGGCACCGACACTGAAAGACAAGTCAACCGATCCACAGACACCGCGCCTGGGAGCTACCGCTGTGGTGTCGACTTAGCTCGGAGGACAAGTGGGAGGGGGGAGAAGGCGGAAGTGGAAACCCTGCCCCTATATCCGGTTGGTCTAAGGCGGTGTGGGAGAACCAAGAAGGTAACAACCAGTTAGAGGACAGCAATCGTTCAAGAGCTGCCCAATCAGCAGAAGGAGGGACGGCCCCCGAGGAAAACTCGTGACTCGGGCAGCGCCTGAGGTGAGGGCGGTAAGCCTCGTGGGCTCCAGGAAGGCGGAAGTGGGACTTGACTTAAAGCAGCCTTGTTCGCCGACCCTTTAGCACGGTGCGTGGGCCTGGTTCCGACACATCTCAGTGGACCCTAGTCAAGAACCCGGAGGTGAAGGCAGCGATGCTGGGCCGGTTGCAGAAGAGGCAAGCTACTTAGACTTTCTGAACCTCGGTTTTCGCATCTGTAAAAGGAGACTGGGAATCCTGCATTGCCTCCTTCCCACGATTGTTGGGAAGGCTGCATGCTTTTACGGCGATATACTAGATTTATTTTTTAAAAATGTATGTAACTCAATTCACACAGCTGGATTTATTTTCTTCTTTAGAACAACCTGCCTTAACTATGATTGATTCGAATCCACTCTTGATTTTTTTTCCCGCAATATTTTTATAAAAAGGAAAATACATATGCTTTTACAGAGTCCTTTTATGCTTTTGCAGCCAGTACGTCTTTTCAGAACTAGACAGAAGTTTCTGGAGCTGGAAAATTCCGTAGGGGTTACCTAGCTCATAAGGAAACAAAGGGATCAGTCACACAGGCAGTCAATGGTCAAGGGAACCTAGGTCTACTGGGCACCTACATAGTGGTTCTAGCCCCAACCTCTTATAGTACATACATTTTCCAGCTGGGGACTTAATTTAAAAAAGTTCCTTAAGTATTTTAAATCAGGGACATGTTAATATTAAGTGGCTAGTTAATCTTGTCTACACCATAGAAATCATTTGGAGTGATTCCACTTAATCACGCCCATGTTGAGGAGGGGAGCTTATTGCAATGGCCGACAATCCTTTACCACCATCACCCTGAAAAGGAAAAAATAAAAAACCAGCCAACCAGAGGTCAAAGATGTCTCGAGGTTGTCAGCAAAAAAGAAATTGGTTTTTAAAAATATACTTTGTTGTTGTTGTTTAAAGGTAACGAAGCCTATGGTGGTTATTAACACCAAGACTCTAAAGCACAAATAATAGTCACGTGCCTCTGCTTAGGAAAATCCAATATGTGGAAACATGAAATTATAAGTAAAGTTACAAGATGCTGTAATATAAGATTGCTTTAAGAAGCAAGTTGCATCCAGGAAGCCCAAAGAGTCCCAAACAAGAGGGAGGCAAAGAAGCCCACTCCAAGACACATAATTAAAATGCCAAAGATTAAAGATTGAGGATCTTAAAAGCAGCAAGAGAAAAGCAGTTATCTATAGGGGAATACCTATAAGACTGTCAGCTGATTTCTCAAAGGTAACTTTGCAGGCTGAAGGGATTGGCAAGAAATACTCAAAGACATGAAAAGCAGGGACCTACAGCCAAAATTGCTCTACCCAGCAAAACTATCATTTAGAATTAGAGGGCAGATAAAGAGCTTCCCAGATAAATAAATAAATAGATAAATAAATAAAGGAGTTCACCACCACCAAACCATTATTATATGAAATGTTAAAGGGACTTACTTAAAAAAGATCAAAACTATGGACAGTAAAATGTCAAATACATATCTATCGACAGTTGAATCTAAAAAACTAAGCAAACAAGAAGAACAGACAATTATGAGTACAGAGAGTGTTTTGATGGTTGTCAGATGGGAGCGGTGTGTAGGGGAAGGGGTGACGAGGTGAGGGGGTTAAGTACAAATAAGTAGTTACAGAAGAGCCATGAGGATGTAAAGTGCAGTATAGGAAATGGAGTAGCCAAGTAGCCAAGGAACTTATACATATGACCCATGGACATGAACAATGGTGGGGGGATTGCCTGAGGGAGTGGGGGCTGCTGGGAGGAGGGGGACAAAAGGGGAAAAATAGGGGCAATTGTAATAGTATAATCAATAAAGTACAATTTAAAGAAAAAAAAGCAACTTGCCTAAGAATGCAGTGTTAGCTTTGATATACAGAAATGAATATGTCTTTAAATATTTTCAGAAATAATGGGTATTAATATTTAATAAATATATACATGGATTTTTATGGACAAAAGTAATTGCTTAAAGCATATGTTTACTTTTAACATCATTGTAAATATGGAATGTAGGAATGTTTTGAAGAAAAACATTTAAGAAACTTAAATTTTTAGAGCCTGCAGCTGACTCCGTTGTCCCCTCCCTCTTCTTGTTCAATGCTCTTCCCTAACATAAATTGACAATAATGTATGAAGTAGTTTCACATTTATTTTCTTCTTGAAACAGTCTGTCCTGTGCCTGTGGAGAGAATAAGGGGAAGCGGCGACCATGAGAGAAACCAGGGATGGCAACTTTTGATTGCTTACAGCAGTAGTAGCTGAGGGAAAGACCACGTTCTCTGCCAGGCAAGTGTATGACTCCAGGAAAGCTGTCCTGAGAGTCACTTGCTAGAGGAGACATCCCATATGCAAAATCAGCTATTTACACCCTCAAAATGAGGGAAATCAGCTGAAGGATGACTTGACAGAGGAGGTGGCTTGGAACTTAGGTTTGGCATATGGGTAAGATTTAGAAGAGTCAGTGCTGTGGCCTAATCATTGTTGTGCAGAGGTTCAGAGTTTGGCATGTCTAGGGGGCAGTGAGTACAGGCATACCTCAGCTGTTGTGGGTTCTGTTCCAGATCACCACAATAAAGCAAGTTGTAATCTTTTTTTCTGATGGAGGGTCTTACCTTCAATTTGTGAAAAACACAACATCTGTGGAGCACATTAAAGTGAGGCCCAATAAAATGAGGTATGACTGTAAGTTAGTTTGGCTGGGCCTGAAGAGCTTAAGAGGAGGAATATCTGAAGGCAATTTGGAGACATGTGGTGGGACCCTGAATGCATTTAGAGGCCTTACTAGTGATAGGGAATCCTGGAAGGTTTCAGAGAAATAGAAGGGAGGCTAGTCATATTTGGTTGAGAAGTCCTCAAAGTTTCCTCCAGGAGAAAAGTCTTGTTTTAGTTTCTGCGTTGCCCCCTAGACCTTTAGGTGAGGTCAGGGACCATGTCTTCCTTGCTCACCTTTGTACTGTCAGGGTCTGGCATTATACCTGGCACATAGCAGGTGCTTGATAAATATTTGTTAATAGATTGAATGAAGTAACATTTGAGACAGATCTCAGAGGAGAAGGGTTGTGAGACATATGGTACAGAGGGGAAGAGGAGAGATGGTGCTGTACTCTGCAAAATGATTTGACTAAATGATAGAAGAATCAGGAAAAATGCATGCATATGAAGGAAGTGGTGGAGTCAAACCATGGAGCGCTTGAGCGCCCAGGTGAAGATTATTCCTTAATTGCAATGGCTATGAGGTGCCTTTGGAGGATTTTAAACAGATAATGACTTGGTGAGAACTTTATTCTGGAAGAATCTCTGGCAGTGCAGGCAGTGTAAGTGTAGGAGACAGTTCTGAAAGAAGGAAGGATGGTTAGAAAAGACACAGCTGCTGTTATTCAGGAGGGGGACGAGGGGAGCCAAGGATGATATTCTAGGGCATGGAGCATTGGGCTCAGGTGGAAGGAAAATAACGGAGGTACCGTACACAGTTGGTAAGGGATAGCATTTAGGAGGGAAGGAGTGGGAGGGGGAGAGGGGGAGAGAGGAGAGTCACAGGCAATATTTATAGCTTGGAAACCCAAGATGAAAATAGCCACATCAGAAAAAGCCAGATGAGCGGGATGGGCCAGAGATGAGAGAAAGGAAGATTTCAATGTGGACATGGTGAACCCAGAGACCTGTGGGATATTCAGGGGACATTCGACAGGCTACTGGAGATCTAAGTCTAAAGGTCAGGGGAGAGGAGGGTTTCATTCCAGCAATGGTGGGCAAAGTTGTTTCGGGCCAACTCTTCCGCTGAAACAACTAGAAGAGCTGGACAAAAAAGTTATGTAAAAATCTCTTCGAAGGCAGAGGATGAACAAAGCAGGGAAGAATTGTGGGCCCAAGCTCTAGGAGAGGAGGGGAGGCAAGAAAAGTGAGCCTAGCATTCGGAGCCACTTTTCCTCCCAAAGTGATTGTTATTTCTAAAAGCAGAGTCTGAGAAGTTGCATAGAGAATTCAATAAACAAGGCTGGGGAGAAGAATATAGCTGACCAACCCCAGGAGGGGCCCTGATATGTGTACCAGGCTTTTTGTTGAAAACTCTGAATGGCTATACAAAAGGAATAAAGGTGAAAAGAGCCTATTGCCCAGCTTTAAGTCATATAAATCCTTGATTGAATTAAAGTGGCTCAGGTTTTCGAATGCCCTTAGCGCAGTAGTACCTACTGGAAAAAAAATGTCATCCAAAAATAAAAGCGTGTTAAGACAAAACTTGCTCAGGAATATTTTCAGGGACTGACATACGGTAGAAATCCCAGGGGATTCAGATAATGAAATTATTGGACCTAGACTAGAAAATAGCTACAATTAATGAGTTAAGGAATTAAAAGAAAAAGAGAATTTCAGCAGTTTGAAAATTTGAAAACTAAAATTCATAGTAGCTGATATTAAGAATTCAGTAGATAAGTTTTAATATTGGATTAGACATAGGTGAAGAGACAATGAGTGAACCAGAATATAGGGCAGACGGCTATCCAGGCTGAAACGCAGAATCGAAAGGATATAAAACACAGAAAAAAACATTAAAAACATATGGGAGGTGAGGAATAGGTTTTATAAACATGTAATTTTAGCTAGGAGAGATAAGAGAATGAAGCAATGTTTGAAGTGAGAGTAGCTAAGAACGTTCTATAATTGATTAAAGGAATCAAGCTGAATATTCAAGAATTGCCATGAATTCCGAACAAAATTAAAAATACCTTCTCTAAAATAATTTTTAAAAATTTGTGTGTCACTTGTGCGCTTTTAAATTGACATCTAAATTTTTTCAGGATAACTTAGTTTCTAGG